GCTCTATCGCGGCCTCCTGCTGCCCCGTCGTCCACGGCGTGAGCCCCCCCCTAAAAATGTTCTGGGGGTCTCTCCTCCCCGTGGACCAGGCCCAGTCGAGGTTGATGTCATTTAGCGATACCTCTGGCGCTGGCTCCTGGACACGCTGCTTGGTCCAGTGTTGGTGGGATCTTCTGTCACGATCGTCGGGTACAGAGGACCAAGGCGCAGCGTGGAAGGTGAACATATTTATTAAATAATGATACACGAACAAAACAACAAACGATACGTGAAGTCCTACGGTACAAACACAAACCAAAAGGAACAAGATCCCACACCATACTGTGGGAAACAGGCTGACTAAGTATGGTTCCCAATCAGAGACAACAAGCAACAGCTGATTCACGTTGCCTCTGATTGAGAACCACACCGGCCAACATAGAAACACAATACTAGACCGAACACAAATGAAAACTCACACCCTGGCTCAACATACTAGAGTCCCCAGAGCCAGGGCGTGACAATTGCAGAATATATTCCTCACCTTTTCTGGCCGTGATGGGTATATATTCCCGAAGGAGCCATACAACAAATTACCATGCGCATCTCTCATTTAATTGAACCTAGTAGCCTAGTGAATAGAAAGGCTAAACAGTGCATTCGGACCCCTTGACTTATTCAGATCCCTTGACTTTTTCGACATTTTGTTACTTTACAGCCGCATTATAAAATGTATTCAATTGTTTTTTTCCTCATCAATCTACACACAATACCCCATAACGACAAAGCAAAAACAGGTTTTTAGAAATGTTTGCAAATGTATAATAAAAAAACGAAATGCTGAAATATTACATTTACATAAGTATTCAGACCGTTTACTCTGTACTTTGTTGAAACACCTTTGGCAGCGATTACAGCCTCAAGTCTTCTTGGGTATGACGCTACAAGCTTGGCACACCTGTATTTGGGGAGTTTCTCCAATTTTTCTCTGCAGATCCTCTCAAGCTCTGTCAGGTTGGATGGGGAGCGTCGCTGCACAGCTATTTTCAGGTGTTACCCAAGATGTTCGATCAGGTTCATTTCCGGGCTCTGGCTGGGCCACTTAAAGACATTCAGAGACTTGTCCCCAAGCCACTCCTGCATTGTTTTGGCTGTGTGCTTAGGGTCGTTGTCCTGTTGGAGGTCCTGAGGTCTCTGGAGCAGGTTTTCATCAAGGATCTCTCTGTACTTTGCTCCGTTTATCTTTCCCTCGATCTTGACTAGTCTCCCAGTCCCTGGCGCTGAAAAACATCCCCACAGCATGATGCTGCCACCACCATGCTTCACAGTAGGGATGGTGCCAGGTTTTCTCCAGACGTGACGCTTGGCATTCAGGCCAAAGAGTTCAATCTTGGTTTCATCAGATCAGAGAATCTTGTTTCTCATGGTCTGAGAGTCTTTAAGTGCCTTTTGGCAAACTCCAAGCGGGCTGTCATGTGCCTTTTACTGAGAAGCTTCCATCTAGCCACTCTACCATAAAGGCCTTATTGGTGGAGTGCTGCAGAGATGGTTGTCCTTCTGGAAGGTTCTCCCATTTCCACAGAGGAACTCTGGAGCTCTGTCAGAGTGATCATCGGGTTCTTGGTCACCTGACCAAGGCCCTTCTCTCCCGATAGCTCAGTTTGGCCGGGCGGGCAACTCTAGGAAGAGTCTTGGTGGTTACAAACTTCTTCCATTTAAGAATGATGGAGGCCACTGTGTTCTTGGGGAACTTCAATGCTGCAGACATTTTTTGGTACCCTTCCCCAGAATGTTGCCTCGACACAATCCTGTCTCTGAGCTATTCCCCTAAGTTTATGCCCATTGGTTGAGAGAAAGCAAAGTGATAATTGCACTAGTGAGCCCATAGGTTACTTAGAAAGCATGGTGAAATTTCCTTAGTGTGCCGTACTCATAGGCTGAAGTTAGTAAGTGAATGATGATCCTAACGCTTGCTAATTGTAACGGAGGAGACGTGACACTATACTGATGAGGTAACATTGTAAACTACCAAATGAATACCTGCTATGCCCATGAGCTAGGAAGCAATGTGAATATATTATGCTTACTGAATAGAAATACAAGTGACACCCAGAACAGCTTTACTGATTAAACTTTTGTAAACTACATTAGTAGGCCTACTATAAAAAATAAAATAAAAAGTCAAGTAGAACAAAAACACACGAGAAATAGAAATGTAACTACTGTAATGTAACTACTTTTTTTTGTAGCCTACCCTACAATGTTTCAGCATTCGAGGACAATCCATCATATTTAGGTTGGGGGAAAAGTCATTGTTGAATTAAAAAGTATTGCTGACAGGTCCACGACAATTTGCTATTGTTTTCTCTCAGAAACAGACACAGTCCATTACCAGATACAGCATAAATTACTGCTAAAGATGAAAACATTCTGCCAACACAATAAATAGACCGGTAGCTTATGTAAAGGATGTGACTGTATGGGTAGGCTACAGTATTGCTGTGTGATAGGAGCACAACAACATTGCCTATTTAATCTCAGAGCCTATACAAAGGCAGGACATATAAACCCAATAATCTATTGATAAACTCAATATTGAACAACAATTTGTCTTTTGCATGCCGTGACCTAATGCCAATAGTTCCAAATTATACAGCAAAAAAAGGGCATTATTGTCACCATAAAAGGTGAATGGAGACGTTTTCCAGGCAGAGTTTTAATGCATGTTCAAGTGCATATAACGGGAAACATGCGTATGTATGGCGTGCGGTAAGTTTATAAATCTAAAAAAAAAATCTGAAATGGCGCACATAGCAATTTCGTGTGAAATTTACGCAACGGTTATAAATGAGGCCCCTGGTATGATGATGCATTGATCACTTATACAGTTTAAAGCATTTATTTTTGTGTTTTTGCCCAAAGTCTACCTGTAAAGTAACTGTCCAGTGTTTTCAGATTTCTATTAAATATGACCTTTAATTAATATGAGTACAATTGTTTTCCTTCCAATTTTTTACAATTAAGTATGTTAAAAAGCAGATTTTCTGTGTTGGAATGGTGTTGGCGTATACCGGTCATCGTCTGCTAAATGACTAAAATGTAAATGAAGAAATGGCAAGCATTTATGAAACGGTCAGTTTGAGATAAAAGTTTGAAGTGCAGTTTTTGAAGTGCTTTTTCTATAAATTAACTTTTAGATGTAAAGTCCCCTGTTTAAGGGACCTGCGTGGTGAAATCGCAAATTCAACAATGAGTGGTTTGGAATGACTCAGTGGCTAACTGCAAGTGTTGCAAAGCAATCACTAGCCTGCTATTCAGTGGAGTGGGTGTGTGGTCCAAGTCTGGGTTTAAGGGTCTCTTTTCCAAGTTTAAAAGGATAAACATTCAACAAGATGGGCCAGAAAAGGTTTAATACATTGGCCATGCTGTCAATCCAGCTGGGAACTCGGGCCTCTTTCTAGTGCTCCGACCTGAAGATCACTGACGTCATGATTCTACTTAATTTTTTTTCAGAGTTCCCAGTTGTCTTGAAAGCACCATAAATCCAGAGAATGCCAGACTTTGATGACAAAGTTTGATGGCAAAATTTGTCAACGAAGGACTGCCGCGCCACCTTCCTGTTCAAGTGAGCACAGCACAACAAGGTGAGTCCAAAAATTGCTGCTGCTGCATAAATTAAGTAATATGCCAGGAAGATATGTATACTGTAGCTAAGAAAGTAATACTAAGTGTATGTTGTGTATTAAGCTGTTAGTAGCCCATGTGCCTCACCCTAATAATTTGGTCCCTTTCCCCCTCCTAACTTTGCTTACTGTTCTGACTTGGTGGTGCACATGTAGCCTATAGCCTCGAATATTGTAAGAGCTTTCATTGTCTGCTTATATGCCCGCTTTATTTATCCTACGGTTCTGACTTGGTGTACAGGGAGAATACTGTAAGAACGGCCCCATGTTCTGAATTCTGTCGCTGTAGCCTACATTTCAAAAGTGCTGAACAAATAGTTACATTAACTACGTCCATCCTAGCTCGCTCATTAATGTCTTAATCGATATTAGATTGACTCTTATCCGCTCGTTGTTCCCTTATGCTATAGTTTTTACATCTCAGTTGTCAGTAGAAACCACATTTGTTTAAGCAAGTCAGCCATATCAGCTATGTTTTTTTCAAAGGCAGTAAATGAGGCAGAATTAACTGTTTCGCTGATAGCCAGGTTTAGCAGTGGCTGAAAAGAAAGCTCTGTTGTTGGGACAGCTTTATGTAGGCCTTAACAGTTTGTGGGCACTGTTTGTCACAGTTATAGTGCAATTCATGTATTGCTTAGTGTTGTGGCTTTGCTGGCATGCATCCTCACATTTTCGGGGGAGTTTGCCCCACCAAGATTTACATGCTAAAATCGCCACTGTGTAGAGTAGCAGGAAATTAGCTTTATAACTAATATTTCACAAAGAATCTCAGAGTAGGAGTACTGATTTTACGATCATTTTTCCCTTCACACTGTGCCTCTTTTTCCAAGAAGGACCATAGTGATTGTATCAGACTTTATCAAAGAATAAAGCATTGATAAACAGTGGCCATTACGGTGTCCTCACCTGCTCTCCTCTCTCTGGTGGTTTAGCCGTCGATCAAAGTTTTGTTTACAATATTTAATGGTATTGTGTAAAAAAAAGGATTAAAATGTGAATACTGAATCTGTTATGACAAGAAGGAATTCAAGGAAACAACCAACAGACGTATAAACTTATTTCAATACATTTTATTTGCAATGTCCAGCAACGCAATATGGTATGAAACAACACATTTACATCACAATTTCTTTGATCTTTCAATATGTTTATCTATTGTCATCTTTACAGTACAACCAATAAATATATTAAGCACTTCCTAAACAGCACTGCGCCATGAAAAGGCATTTCAATTTCAACCAGTAGAAATCAGTATATGTACAAAGTATTTCCTGAATAGCAAAATGTATGCAGTGATACTAATGCATTTTGAAAAGTCCATTATACAAGTCCCTCACTTTAGTCAACCTCTTCAATGGTTGGGCCTTGGGAGCTGGCACCAGAGCTGGACCTTGCCTGATCTCCACAGCTACCTGTGGGCATCCCTCCTTGCTGGTATAGCTTGGTAATGATAGGCTGGCACACTTTCTCCAGCTCCTTCAGCTGAAGCTCGTACTCCTCTTTGTCTGCAAGCTGGTTGTTCTCCAACCAGGAAATGGCCTGGTCGCACCTGTCCACCACTTTCTTCTTGTCCTCCTCGCTGATCTTACCTTTGATGTTGTCATCCTCCACGCTGCTCTTCATATTGAAGGCGTACGACTCCAGGGAGTTCTTGGCTGCTATCTTCTCCCTCTGTGCGTCGTCCTCAGCTTTGTATTTGTCGGCATCCTGCACCATCCTCTCAATATCCTCTTTGCTGAGCCGCCCCTTGTCGTTGGTGATGGTGATCTTGTTCTCTTTGCCCGTGCTCTTGTCCACCGCTGATACGTTCAGAATGCCATTGGCGTCGATGTCAAAGGTCACCTCGATCTGAGGGACTCCTCGTGGGGCAGGGGGGATTCCACAGAGCTCAAACTTCCCCAGGTGGTTGTTGTCCTTAGTCATGGCTCTCTCTCCCTCGTAAACCTGGATCAGGACCCCGGGCTGGTTGTCGGAATAAGTGGTGAAGGTCTGGGTCTGTTTGGATGGGATGGTGGTGTTGCGTTTGATCAGGGCGGTCATGACCCCTCCGGCGGTTTCGATGCCCAAGGACAGGGGAGCCACGTCTAGCAGCAGCAGATCCTGGACGTTCTCAGACTTGTCGCCAGACAAGATGGCCGCCTGGACGGCAGCACCGTAGGCCACCGCCTCGTCTGGGTTGATGCTCTTGTTCAGCTCTCGACCGTTGAAGAAGTCCTGCAGGAGCTTCTGGACCTTGGGGATCCGGGTGGAGCCTCCGACCAGGACAACGTCATGGATCTGGGCCTTGTCCATCTTGGCGTCCCTGAGGGCTTTTTCCACAGGCTCCAGGGTTCCCCTGAAGAGGTCCGAACACATCTCCTCAAAACGAGCCCTGGTGATGGAGGTGTAGAAATCGATGCCCTCAAAGAGGGAGTCGATCTCAATGCTGGCCTGGGAGCTGGAGGACAGGGTTCTCTTGGCCCTCTCGCAGGCCGTCCTCAGCCTCCTCAGAGCCCGCTTGTTTTGGCTGATGTCCTTCTTGTGTTTCCTCTTGAACTCCTCCACAAAGTGGCTGACGAGGCGGTTGTCAAAGTCCTCCCCACCCAGGTGAGTGTCCCCAGCAGTGGCCTTCACCTCAAAGATCCCATCCTCAATGGTCAGGATGGACACGTCGAAGGTGCCCCCGCCCAGATCAAAGATCAGGACGTTGCGTTCCCTGGATTTGCCTTTGTCCATGCCGTAGGCGATTGCTGCCGCTGTGGGCTCGTTGATTATCCTCAGTACATTCAGCCCAGCGATCACTCCAGCATCCTTAGTGGCCTGTCTCTGTGAGTCGTTGAAGTAGGCGGGGACTGTGATGACTGCGTTGGACACCTTCTGGCCCAGGTAGGCCTCAGCGATCTCCCTCATCTTCACCAGGACCATGGAGGAGATTTCCTCTGGGTTGAAGGATTTGTTCTCACCTTTGTAATCTACCTGAACTTTAGGCTTTCCTCCATCGCTGACCACCTTGAAGGGCCAGTGCTTCATGTCGGCTTGCACAACCTGATCGTCGAACTTTCGGCCAATCAGGCGCTTGGCGTCGAAAACTGTGTTGTTTGGGGTTCATGGCCACCTGGTTCTTTGCTGCGTCACCGATGAGTCTCTCGGTGTCTGTGAAGGCCACATAGCTGGGTGTGGTCCTGTTGCCCTGGTCGTTGGCGATGATCTCTACTTTACCATGCTGGAACACCCCCACACAGGAGTAGGTGGTGCCCAGGTCAATGCCGATAGACAGGCTTTTAGCTGACGACATCTTGATGGTTTGGAGTTAGTTGCCTACAAAAGAATGAAAGAAGGTTTTAGAAATTGGTATTATTCTACGAAAACCTAGGTGCAAGTAGTGTCAATCTCCAACAACAGAGGTGTTAGCCTAAATATACTTGAATAACAACCAAACCTGGGTTCTAATACATGTGTATTTAAGTATTTGTATTTTAAAGGCTTATTTTCTGTTTATTTTTGTATTTTTAAATAATGTGGCCGAATCAACCAATTCTACTGGAATTATTTGAAAGTATTTTCTGATAATTTCCTATAAATACTATTTGAAACTAGTTCATAAATACATTTCAAATACCCCTAGGAGCAAACAGTCCTGGGTTCAAATGCATGGAGTATTTAAACATTTTTTGTTTGAAAATACACTTGTTGTCTGTGTATTTGAGTATTTTCACATACGTGCTGATACTTTCCAAATGTATTGCAAAATGCATTCCAATATTCAACTAATTGTATTTTCAAATAAAAAATATCAAAATACTTCTAAATGTACCGGTATTTGAAAGTAATTGAAATACAATAAATAGTATTTGAATGAGTCTGATAACAACACTGTTGTCAATGTATTGCATTGTGTTATATAGCCTATTAGTGTTATTAGCTAGCCTAATACAGGCCAGGCACATATTCAGTGGGGTGTAACATACAGAAAATGGCAGACACAATCATTTCTGCTAATCTATGACAGAGAAACGTCTTTTTACAATAGGCCTTGTATGAACTGCACCCTCCTGAATAATATTGAGTTAATATCTTCACATAATTAGAGCAGATTTTCTTAAAAATAAGAAATTATAATAAAATATGCTAGAAAACATGGTGAATATAGCCCTAGTCTGTTCACATAAATAAGGACATAATAAATGGATTATTATTTCAGTAGTAATATTATTTCAGTAACAGTTCAATACAATTATTTCGGTATTAGTTAACCAAATATTTTGGCATATAATGTTATAGCTAAACCGGCTGTCTACACAACCAACATAGCAGAATGTTCTATTTCCATAAAGTTTACAACAGTCATGCATATGAAAATAGGCTACTGAAAGTTACTTACAGTTTGTGAATGTAGAGGTCTCGTTGAAAGGAATAGGGCAGTAGCCTATAAAGTCGCTCTCCTCTTTTCTTGCTTTCTTCACCCTTAGGTATTCTCGTTCAGTCGATGTTTTAAATGAATGACATTCACCAGAATATATACTATCCCTGATTTCTAGACATTTCTCGAACACTCTGACCAATGAGAGTGCAGCATTCCTGTGCGATGACTGACGCTGAGAGGCGCATGCATTGCAAGCGCAGCAAAGGAAAGCTCTCGTCTTTCCAGAGCGTTCCAGAGGGGCGGAGAACTGCCCAGAAGGCACACAAATAATGAAACCAGAAGTTCAGTCAGTAGTGTAGCTAGGCTGTTTCCTACATTCCCTTGTGTTGATTAAAAGTATAAAAAACTGTTAATGGTTCAAATTTCAACACAAATGAAACAACATGCGGTTCAACCTTTGTCGAAATGTCAGTCTATACACTGTAGTTCCTCAACAGTTCACGAGATGTCAGTCTATGCATTTCTTCTCACTAATGAATTATATATATATTTATTGGAAGATAATTGAGCGAGTGTGTGTGAGACAGAGAGGGCGAATGAAAGAAAGAGAGCCTACAGCACAAATGGCATTGCAAGTAATTTTTTCTACAAACAACTTACCACTAGTTAGGTCCCTCCTTACTTCTCAACATATTTGTATTAAAGCCAGAGTATTTAAGATTTCCATTATACCTTTTTTAAATGAAAGACAAATTATGAACACACCGGCTAATCCTTCTCTATTCTATTTTAGTCTATTCAATGCTATTCTATTGTAGTCCATTCGTCTATTTTAGAAAACTTTATTTGAAAACAATCACAGTAAGGAACTTAATTGTTACCCAGAAAGGATTTGCTATTGAGATGGGAAAAAAAACCTGGCTGCATTGGACCTATAAACACATGCTGGTGAAGTGAAAGAGAAATGCCATAGAGGATGACGAGAAAGGTGGAACGTGAATTGACAGTAAGTACACACTGTGTATAAACAACACAATACTGAAAGCAAGCTATAGGGACAACACCAAACACAGCAGTAGGCCTACAGTATGTGCTCATGTAGCCACTGACACAGAAAGGCTGCATGTACTATAGCCTACAGTAATCATGGATCTATTCAGCTAGTTTGAAATGAATGATTTACCAATCTCCATAAGGATATATTTTAATTACAAAAACATTTAAAATTATATGCAATTATATAAGCTTGTTGTAAACATTTTGTAAACATTCATGCAAATAATGCATTTTTGAAATAGATAGCCTAGTAGTTCAGTATAAGACAAATACTGATTCACAGACGGTGGTGATTTCATTTCAAAATGTATTTACTGCCCCTCCATTTTCCCACCATCCAAGTACTCTGAATGCAAACAAAGTCCCTGCAACTCCTCCTGCTGCCACCCTGCTCTCTAGTCTACTTTCCCTTCCCATCCTCTCTCCCACTATATCGCGAGAGATAGGGAGCACAGAAATATTCATATGTTAGCAACAACTGTTATAAAATGATAATTATATCACGGATATATAAACTAATTGTATAAAATGCTGGAGCGTAAAATATAGGGATATAAATTAAAATTCTAATGTAAGCCAACGCAAGATTGCTAGTTGTTTTATTAATAGCTGGCTAGCTAATAATAATAGCTAGGTAGCTAGCTACATATTAGCTAACAATTCGCCTGTTGGCTGTAGCACATATGGGAGGCACAAGTTAACGATTAACTAGCTAACTGTAAAGTGGACACTATTTTGAAGACAAGCGTGTACAAGTGGGTAAACATAACATTACTTCAATTAGCTAGCACCCCTTATTCAATGATAATAGCCATAGCCTAGGTAGCTACTATAACAAACGATAGCTAGATACTGTTATTTAATTAAAACAGCTAGCTCGCTACCGTTACATGGAATACATTTTGCTACATTGTTGAATATTGGCTAGTTAGCTACTTAGCTAACTGCTTTAAGCTGGTGCTTTTTATTTAGCTAGCTAACATGGTTCTGTTAAGAAGATGGATGGCGTTACTGGCTCGCTGTGATGGGGGTCGCTAGTTAGCTCAGTAACGGTTACGCTAACTAGATTGTTTATCACGCGATGTGCTGGTTCTTGTTGCTAGTTAACTAAGCTAACATGACCACACTGTCTGTCATTTTGCCATGTCCACGCACTATCATTATTCTGTAATATTAGCTATCTAGCTAGTTAACTGTCTCTCCTCCTCTCCTTTAGGTTATTTTAACGGTCAAGCACTGGCCTCGAGTTTCTGACGGAGTCGACAATGGTTTGTGAATTCCAGGTAACTGCATTAGCCAGTAGTACTAACCAGGCTCTCTGGATTGTTTACATCCAGCGCCAGTGTGCAAATTAGCTAGGTAATGTTGCTAGCTAGTTAGCTGGTTTCATACGCAGTCAGTTGTTTAGCTACAATAATCTAGCCAGCAAGGTAGTTAATTAGCTATGCCACACTACCTTTGGCTTTGCTACAGTGTGTGAAAGTGATTAAGCAACTACTTATCTGAACACTGACAAATCAGTTGGTGTCTCACAAGCAACCATTTGGATTTTCACATCTAGCTACCTACCATTATGTGAAGATCTCTAGCTAACTAATTAAATGGGTTGTCAGTCAAACGGCTTGCTTATCAATTTGTTATTGTTTTTGTGGATGTAAAGCATTGACTCAATTTAAATCAGTGACAATTGACACAACTGTTGTGACCAATAGTCTAACAGACAACTACAGGTGGCAACTGGTGCTAGTGGTATTTGTATTAGTTACACAGTTGATTAGATATTGTAGATCATATTAGAGTTGGTTATGGCTCTGGAAAATATATGTAACAGGTGATGTGATGTATCACCATTGATTATGCTTGTATTGTTTTCACAGGCTGCAGTTGTGTTCTTGTGGATGTGTGGTGGACCGTAAGCAGGGCGGCCACTTGTGAACCTCACCTATTTACCTCGCCCCTTTGTCCTATACCTCCTCCCTGACACCGATTTTTCCCCCCGTCTTTTATCATAGACATTTTAAAATATATGATAGCATGTTGCACAGAGACAGACCCCCTATATTTCTACCTCTTCTCCGTCTGTGCTCAGCAGTGTGTTACGGTAGTCTTTTATCTGAAGTTTTTAAATGGGGGTGAATCTACTATGCCTGGCGTAGTACGGTACTTGAATTCCCACCCATTTGTAAATTAGCCCTGATGAGCTGTGCAGGTTTCATTTATCAACCTTAAGTGATAAACCAATCAGCAGCCGGCTAGTTGGCCAATCAGCTCCCCCCCACCCCCTCCTAGGTAGAATGAACGGCTCTCTTTTAACCCCACCTAGCCCGCGGGCAGCCAACTCCTCCCCCCTGCCCCCATCACCCTCCCCCCCTCCGTCCCCCTCCCTGTTGCCCCAGTTCCCTCGGCCACCCCCCCTGCCCCCTCCCTTGGCCCCTCCCCTGGCCCAGCCTCACCCCTCCTCGCTGTCGGACACCCCCACGTCCTCCCCCTGCCTGAGTTGGACGGAGTTCTGTGAGCTGCATGCCCGCATGGCGGCCAGGGACTTTGCCCGCCACTTCCGGGCATTCCTCCTGGAGAACCCGCACTACTCCCCCGACTCTGCTGCCGCCTTCTGTCGCCGTTTCACTGACCGCTTTGTCCGCCATTTCCAGAGCGAACTGGAGGGGGTGGCAGGGGCGCCGGGTACAGCCCCCGGAATGGAGGCGGGGAGCTGGGCTCCCCAATCAGACGCCACCTCCCTGGAAGAGGAGGCGGTCTCTCCCCCTCCCGTCGCCGAGGGAGCCTCCTACCACCCCTGTGCCCCAGCCAACCCGGTGCGAGCCCTGCCCAAGCCTGCCTCCACACGGCTGGTGTTGGAAACCCGAAGTGGGGACCAATTTCAAGACTCCTATGCTGTCACAACGGTCCTCCCCCCATCCTCCTCCTCCTCCTGCTCCTCCTCAGTGGGAGGAGGAAACAACGGCAGGGGTGCCCCGGTTACTGTTAAACACTTCCCTGGTGTCGGCCCTGGCAACGGAGAAACGACGGCCGAGGAAGAGGAGGATAGCTGGGCGGGCATAACGGTCATGGGGGAGGAGGTGGAGCCAGATGAGGTGGAGGCGGAGCTGGAAGTTTGCTTGGACAATGAAGACCCCTCCCACATGCCCCAAACGCCTGCCTCCCCTTGCTCCGACACATCCCCTCCCCGCTCCAAGGGTAACGGCACCCCGGCCTCGGCAGGAAGCCAGTCCAAAACCAAACTGAAGAAGCGCTTCTCTCTGCGGAGTGTTGGGCGCAGCGTGCGGGGCAGTGTCCGGGGTATCCTGCACTGGCGCAGCTCATCCAGCGACTCCCCCCAGAGCTCCTCCCAGCTGCCATCCAGCTACAGCTACACCATGGGGGTCCAGGACGCTGCCGCTGGCTCTTCCCCCAAGAGGAACTCTGGCACCCAGCCCCCCACGCCCACCTCTTCCATGCCTGTCTCCCTCTCCCTGCCCCTCTCCCTCCCCCACTCCTCCTCCTCCTCCCTGCCCCCGTCTTCCTCCAGCAGTGCCACCTCACTCTCGCTATCGGAGGCGCGGGACCGGCGGCGGAGCAATGGCGAGGGGGGAGAGAAGGAGAAGTGGAGCCACCGGCTGGAGAAGCTGCGTCTGTCTCGCTCCCCGCCCCCCGTTCTCTCCTCGGCGCCCACTTCGGCCGTGGTGTCGCCTTTCTCCGGCCTGCCCCCCAGCAGCAGCGCCACCCTGAGGAAGACGGGCCGGCTGGTGAGGGAGGGAGGAGTCAGCGTCAGCTCCTCCATGCCAGATGAGTTTGCTGGGAGCCACGGTGGTTTCCCTGGCTTTTCCTTCGGCCTGCTGCACCACGGCACACAAGAACACAACAACGCTGGCACTGGCTTAAACAACACCTTGTCCACCGCTAACGCTGCTCAGACAGCCTCAGTGCAGCCTCTCGTCCCCGGGGGCACTGTGGGCTGGAGGGGCGGTCGGTGGCACAAGTGCCGACTGGTCCTGAGGGAGAGGGACAAGGAGGGGGAGCGGGGCGAGGAGTACTATCTGGAGTTCTTCATCCCGCCTAAAGTGAGTGAGAGACCTGTTCAGTGCAACTCAATATTAGGAAGGTGTTCTTAATATTTGGTATACTCGGTGTATATAGCTGCCAAAAAAAATCACATTTGATAATGATACATTTAATAATACGTTTGAAATGTTCTTTTTATGTGAACATAATTAATGATGAACTTGCATTTTCAAGTTGACAGTTTTTGTTTAATGCCCTACCAGATAACACTGCCATATTGAGAAATACAATTATTGGAAGATAAAGTTCACATTTGTAATTGTACTACATTATTGTGATCGCATTATTTGTGACAAAAAGAAGATGAAAACTTAATGTGCAATTTAACAATGCTTATTATTAACCTACAAATTACAACATTTTAATTCAAATCCTTATTGGGTGAAACTATTATATATTATTCCTCCCATTTTTGATTTAATTTCCTCATTGTCATTTGTTATCCTGGCCACATTCTTAACAGTTTAGCCTGTCAATCGATCGCTGTGGGTGGGATTGTCAGGGAGGAGCAGGATATTTGTCACAGGGTTGGTAGGGTTTTCAGACCTGTTAAGGAATTATTGGGGGTGGGATTTTCAGGGAAGGGAGTAGATTAGTAATCGAGTCATTAAAACACCGTTTCAATATAATTTATTGTGGAAAAGTATACTGAACAAAAATATAAACTCAACATGTAAATAAAAGATACCAGAAATGTTCTATATGCACAAAAAAACGTATTTCTCTCAAATTCTGTGCACAAATTTGTTCACATCCCTGTTAGTGAGCATTTCTCCTTTGCCAAGATAATCCATCCACCTGACAGGTGTGGCATATCAAGAAGCTGATTAAACAGCATGATCATTACACAGGTGCACCTTCTGCTGGGGACAATAAAAGGCCACTCTGAAATGTGCAGTTTTGTCACACAACACAATTCCACAGATGTCTCAAGTTTTGAGGGCACATGCAGTTGGCATGCTGACTGCAGGAAAGTCCACCAGAGCTGTTGCCAGAGATTTGAATGCTCATTTCTCTAACATAAGTCGCCTCTAACGTCGTTTTAGAGAATTTGGCAGTATGTCCAACCGGCATCACAACCGCAGACCCGTGTAACCACGCCACCACAGGACCTCCACATCTGGCTTCTTCACCTGCGGGATCATCTGAGGGGGGTGCTGAGGACTATTTATGTCTATAATAAAGCCCTTTTGTGGGTAAGAACTCATTCTGATTGGTGGGCCTGTCTCCACAGTGGGTAGGCCTATGCCCTTCCAGGCCCACCCATGGCGGCACCCTGCCCAGTCATGTGAAATCCTTAGATTAGGGCCTATTGAAACATTTCCATTGACTGATTTCCTTAAATGAACGGTAACTCAGTAAAATCTTTCAAATTGTTGCATGTTACGTTTATATTTGTGTTCAGTGTAGTTGTGTTCTGTCCATAATATTGAGTCCCCCGTTAAGAAACGGTGTAGAATTGCAGGATAAAAACACAACAACATGCAACACATTTCTTGGGGGGGGGGGGGCATCAGAGTAGATTGTGTGTCATTGATATAACACTGAGAGGCATGAGAACCTGTCAACATGCTCCTTTGGAATGCTTGGAAATTAATTATATGTCATTGGCGGGCATTGTGAAAATTGCACAATTTCTCTGAGCGCACAGATGGTGTCTTATTCAATGGTCTTCTCTGTCCCCCTGTCTCTCAGTCTTCCAAGCCCAGGCTGACTATCCCATGCTGCTCTATTGTGGATGTGAGGAGCACCACAGCCCTGGAGGTGCCTGACAAGGAGAACACCTTCCTCCTGCAGGTAACACTGCTCTGCTCTGTCTATCCTTTTCATTTCCCCTATTTATTTATTTTTGTTCTCTCTCAGTTCATTTCGTTCAGGTAGTCATCTCCTGTTCAGCTTGAATCTGTAGACTGACTTGTATTTCTCTCTCTCACCCCCTCTCTCTTTCTTACCCCCCTCTATCTCACGCTCTCTCTCTCATGCCCTCTCTCGCCCCCTCTCTCTGTCACCCCCTCTCTCACTCACCCTCGCTCTCAACCTCTCTCTCCCCTGTCTCTTTCTCACCCCTCACTCTCTCACCCCCCCTCTCTCTCACGCACTCTTGACCCCTCTCTCTGTCGCCTCCTTTCTCACTCTCTCCCTCTATCGCTCTCTCTAACCCTATCTTTCTCTCTGTCAGTTGGAGGGACAGGTGCAGTATGTGATTGAGACGCGAGACGCTGTGCAGATGAGAGCCTGGTTGAGTGACATCAGGAACGGTATATGTATCAGGTAAGCAAATTGTGTGTTAAGTAATACATGTAACAGTTTTCTTTCAAGTCAGTGATTAGGGAGGGGAGAGCAGTGAGTGAGAGAAGAGGGACCATAAATATGCTTGTATTCACTGACTGTCGACTATCGATGAGGTCAACAGAAGTCGAAGCGACACCCCACCTAGAACAAGCTTTGTGTATCTTGACTCTACAGTGAACAGGAGGACATAGAAGGCGTGTGTGGGGGACCCATGGACATCAGTGGAACGCCAGAATTCAGTGACCGCCTCTCTCAAGGTGAGTGGGACATGACAAATCGATCCCTAGACACCTCCCCAAGCTACTACTCTTAGACCAATATATACCAACCAGTCAATCGCGGTCCTAGTCGACTGGGCATTCCTAGTCGATCGCCAAACATTTCTGTAGAAAAGCCATTGATAAAGCCTGTTGGTGGTAGGTGCACTTGATTCAGCTGCCCTGCGCGCCGGGTAGGCAAAGTGTTCCCATTTTGAACCACTTCATTTGTCTGAAGGAACAAACTCCGTCTACCCGGCAGACCCGTAGAGCTAAATCAAGTGTGCCTACTGCGCTGGCCAATCGGATAGCTCAAATCACTGTGCCAGCAGCTTCCACTACCCCACAGCAAAGTTTGATACTAGCCTAAATGAGATTTCATAACTTTTAAAACCCTGACCAGAGAGACTGTCAAAGAATACAGCAAAGAGCTGCTGTTTTTATGATTCAAGACTTTAAAAAAACATAAAACATGCTTCTCCCTACTTCCACTCATGCTACAACCAGCACCGCAGCTGCAATGAATGAGTAGCCAAGTGTATCGATATACCTGCATTTTTATTATTAACGGCTCGTCGACTAATATTTCACTTTCTCTGGTCATAGGAACAACATGAATTTGTGCATGAGGCAGAAATAATGCAGTGTGACTTGAGTTTGGTCATCAGGTGGAAGACTGTCTCCCCACTCTCTGGTCAGTCTCACCGGAGAGAAGGAGAGAGCAGGGACCGTGCGAGCCGGACCCTCTGCTCACCTTCTCCCTTCATCCGCTGAGACTGACCATCAGATGCAGGTACAACTAGACATGGAAACGGTTTATGAAATGCACATTCCTTTATTTAATATAATATGTGTATGATGCCTTGTCCTTTGGTGCTGCCGATGTAGCCTGTAGAGAGAAACACAGTTTGTGAGTTCACCGGCAATTCATTTGGTTTTGGCAGCAACCATTTGTTTGTTGCGCTGCATTTAATGTTTCTTATAATGCCTTTTCTTATCAATGTTACCATTCAAGTGCACAGGGTTCGGTAATCACTATGTAAAGTAAAATAATTGTTTGCAAACGTAGCCTACCTGTGAATTGTTTGTTCCTCTGTCATGCTCCTGCTGAGACGGGAGGTGGGTCAAACGGAGCTTCTTCTTCTTTGGGACTTGGTTGGCGGATCACATCCAACTTTTAGGTGCATACACCGCCACCTACTGTACTGGTGTGAGGCCATTCACGGCCTACCTACATGAAATGATCTGATACGGTAATACAAAATAGAGAAAAAGGGGAGATTGCCCTGCAAACTATTAGCCCTCTCTACAAAACCCACCACCCCATTCCACTATTTAACCCTATCTAATCCAACTCCAGACTAATGGTCTGAGAGGACATAACCTTACCACTCAACACCCCCCTGCAACTGTTCTGCAGTATATCCTCGCAATCCCAAGTACTTCTCTGCCACCTCTATTTTCTGTGATTTTCTACAATTAACAACCATGGCTATAAATGCTCAAAAGTCCACCGTACTGAAGCACATATTCTTCCCATCATTCTCTTGGTCTCTGCCTACTCACAGGAATCCTCTCAGGATCCCTCACCCGGTCCCCATCTTCCTCTACCACTCTCTTCACTGCTTCGGCATACGACACTTTCTGTGCTACTTTAACCCTGGTAACCTCAATCTGCCTTTCTCTCACCGGACACCTCCGATCTCCAGCCCCATGGGCACCCCCACAACTAACACACACAACTTTCTCCATGGATAACACACATTCCTTCGTCTCATGCCCTCCTGCACACTTCTCACATCTAGGCATCTCCCTCCTACATACTGCTGCAACATGCCCATAAACTTGACACCTAAAACACCATTGTATTTTCAGAACAAACGCTCTCACGGGGTAATTGACACTTCCTACCATGACCTTATCTGGCAAAGACTGCATCAAAACTCAGCATGACAGACAATGTCTTCTCCGGTTCTCCACGCTCTCCACCGGATCTACAACTCACCAAACGGCGGTGTGACAGACACCGGGAATCTTCAATTTCAGCTGCTCCTCCTCAACACTTAATGCCACCCCCGTTATCAGTCCTTTCAACGGCGCCCTGCTCCGCAAAGCAAGTCACAATTATTGTCCCTAATCACGTAATCCGGAGCGCCCACTCCCTCTGGGCGGAGGAAACACAATAAATCATCACAAGTCCACTCCAAGTTACTTACCTTCACCAACTCAACAGTCCCCAACCTCTTCTCCACCCAACCTGACACCACATATGGATCAGCCAAAATACAAGGATCCATTCGCTCTACAAATCTCACTCCCACTGGGCCAGAATCATCCTTATCATCCTCAGGACAAGGCCCTGAGAAATGTTACCCCAATCCATTTATGCTTTATGCAGGGTCCTACACAATTTATTGAAATGGGTTTGTATTTAGGAATGTTTGATTCATTGCCTAAATACACTGAACAAAAATATGAATGCAACAATTTCAAAGATTTTACTGAGTTACAGTTCATATAAGGAAATCAGTCAATTGAAATGAATTCAATAGGCCCTAATTAATGGATTTCACATGACTGGGAATACAGATGTGCATCTGTTGGTCACAGATATCATGCAACGCGACACATCTCCTTCGCAGAGTTGATCAGGTTGTTGATTGTGGCCTGTGGAATTTTTGTCCCACTCCTCTTCAATGGCTGTGCGAAGTTGCTGGATATTGGCGGGAACTGGAACACGCTGTCGTACACGTCGATCCAGAGCATCCCAAATATGCTCAATGGGTGACATGCCTGGTAAGTATGCAGGAAGAACTGGGACATTTTCATCTTTCTGGAATTGTGTACTGATTCTTGCGACATGGGGACGTGCATTATCATGTTGAAACATGAGGTGATGGCGGCGGATGAGTAGCATGACAATGGGCCTCAGGATCTCGTCACGGTATCTCTGTGCATTCAAATTGCCATCAATATAATGCAATTGTGTTCGTTGTCCGTGGCTTATGCCTGCCCATACCATAACCCCACCGCTACCATGGGGCACTCTGTTCACAACATTCAGCAAACCGCTTGCCCACACGATGCCATACACGCTGTTTGCCATCTGCCCGGTATAGTTGAAACTGGGATTCATCCATGAAGAGCACACTTCTCCAGTGGCCATCGAAGGTGAGCATTTGCCCACTGAAGTTGGTTACGACATTGAACTGCAGTCAGGTCAAGACCCTGGTGAGGACGACGAGCACGCAGATGAGCTTCCCTGAGACGGTTTCTGACAGTTTGCAGAAATTCTTCAGTTGTGCAAACCCACAGTTTCATCAGCTGTCCGGGTGGCTGGTTTCAGATGATCCCGCAGGTGAAGAAGCCGAATGTGGAGGTCCTGGGCTGGCGTGGTTACACGTGGTCTGCGGTTGTGAGGCCGGTTGGACGTACTGCCAACCGCAGTGGTCTAAGGCACTGCATCGCAGTGCTAGCTGTGCCACTAGAGATCCTGGTTCGAATCCAGGCTCTGTCGCAGCCGGCTGCGACCGGGAGACCCATGGGGCGGTGCACAATTGGCCCAGCGTCGTCTAGGGTAGGGGAGGGAATGGCCGGCAGGGGATGTAGCTCAGTTCGTAGAGCATGGCGTTTGCAACGCCAGGGTTGTGGGTTCGTTTCCCACGGGGGGTATAAAAAAATAAATAACAAATACAAAAAAAATGGGGGAAAAAAATAGTTATGTATGCACTAACTGTAAGTCGCTCTGGATAAGAGCGTCTGCTAAATGACTAAAATGTAAATGTAAAATGTTCTCTAAAACGACGTTGGAGGCAGCTTATGGTAGAGAAATGAACATTCAATTCTCTGGCAACAGCTCTGGTGGACATTCCTGCAGTCAGCAAGCCAATTGCATGCTCCCTCAACTTGAGACATCTGTGGCATTGTGTTGTGTGACAAAACTGCACATTTTAGAGTGGCCTTTTATTGTCCCCAGCACAAGGTGCACCTGTGTAATGATCATGCTGTTTAATCAGCTTCTTGATATGCCACACCTGTCAAGTGGATGGATTATCTTGGAAAAGGAGACATTTTCACTAACAAGGTAGTAAACAAATTGTGCACAAAATGTAAGAGAAATACGTTTTTTTGGCATATGGAACATTTCTGGGATCTTTTATTTAAGCTCATGAAACATGGGACCAACACTTTACATGTTGCGTTTTATATTTTTGTTCAGCGTATGTTTATTGTGCTGTTCAGGCCTTTATGTAAGATAATTGTTACCATTGATTTGTGATTGGTCTAAAATGGTACAGTCCAAGGTGAGGCCTGATGGGAATTGTACTTGAAACCCTGCCAGACAGGACAAGGGTAAGGTTGCCATGATGGCTGTACACTAAATATTTTCAGCTATTGATTGAAGCCTGGTTTCTTTGGAGCTCAACTTATTATTTGATACATTTTCCAGTTTATGTTACAGTTATTGTTCTGTTTGTACATAGTGTACAGTGTTTCAGCGGCTTCACCTCACCGCTGTAAATAAACACCCTCATTCTGAGTTTGCACCGTATCGAAGTGTTTGCCTCCTCACTGAAACCTCTACCGCTAGGGTGGCCTCCGTTACAGTCCTACAATAAACCTAATTCCTAAAGAACTGTTTTTATTTGATTAATGTTGCATAAAAAAAAAAAGATGTTTAAAAACAGTTCTGAGCTGTAAAGCTCGGCTTGCGTTTTGAAATTGAACTTGACTCAGAAAAGGTTGGTGACCACTGCACTAGACAATCTGTAAGGATCTACAAACAGCAGACATGTAGCATAAGGTAAGGAGGAGGTACTACCATATTCCTTACCTAGCCAATCCTATGACTGCACAGGATAGGATCTAGGAGCCCATTAAGGATTGTTGTGTGATGATTTCCCTGTGTTTCACAATTTTTTGCAGCTTTACAAATATACAGTTACAACACGTAACAACTGATACAGAAAGCGAGACGAAAAAAGTTGTTTTAACTATGAGTCCAACTTTGCGTTGCTATTTGAAAATACAAGAAGAGCGGTTTATGTTTGGTTAAATAATAAGTAAAACTGATGTTTTTGCTCCTGTCGTGTTGCAGTGTGTTATGGAGGTGTGGGCGGCTCCTCCGCGCTGATGGACCCTCTCCCCCCAGAGTTACCGCCCCGCGCCCCTCTGGACGAATCAGACGGACGTGGGGGCGGAGCCGGCCTTGGCACACCATTTGCGGAGACGCCAGATGCCACAGGTGAAGGCTGCTACACACAAACAAACACACACACACACACACACACACACACACACACACACACACACACACACCAGAATGTACAGAGCAAGTCTGGTGACACCTTTTTTTAATCTAATCTTTTCATCACTCCCCCAATCCCTCCTCCCCTCAACCATCCCTCTTCACATCCCAGGCTCCTTCCTGTTCTCAGACGTGGCGGAGGCAGTGGAGCACCCTCTGAGCGAGTGCCAGTGGTTCCACGGGACGTTGTCGCGCCTCAAGGCAGCCCAGCTGGTGCTCGCAGGGGGTACGGCCAGCCACGGCGTCTTCCTTGTGCGCCAGAGCGAGACACGCCGCGGGGAGTACGTCCTCACCTTCAACTTCCAGGGCAAGGCCAAGGTACAAGAGACGGGGGAGGGAGAGTGTGTGTGTGTGTGTGTCAAATCAAATCACATTTTATTTGTCACATGCGCCGAATACAACTGGTGTAGACTTTACCGTGAAATGCTTGCTTACGAGCCCTTCCCAACAATGCAGAGTTTTAAAATCAAAATGAAATAGTAACAAGAGGAATACAATAAGATACACAAGAATGGAGCTACATACAGGGAGTACCAGTATCAGATCAAAGTGCAGAGGTACGAGGTGTTTGAGGTAGATATGTACATGAAAGCAGGGTAAAGTGACTAGGCATCAGGATAGATAATAATAAGGTGTTTGAGGTAGATATGTACATGAAAGCAGGGTAAAGTGACTAGGCATCAGGATAGATAATAATAAGGTATTTGAGGTAGATATGTACATGAAAGCAGGGTAAAGTGACTAGGCATCAGGATAGATAATAATAAGGTATTTAAGGTAGATATGTACATGAAAGCAGGGTAAAGTGACTAGGCATCAGGATAGATAATAATAAGGTGTTTGAGGTAGATATGTACATGAAAGCAGGGTAAAGTGACTAGGCATCAGGATAGATAATAATAAGGTATTTGAGGTAGATATGTACATGAAAGCAGGGTAAAAGTGACTAGGCATCAGGATAGATAATAATAAGGTGTTTGAGGTAGATATGTACATGAAAGCAGGGTAAAGTGACTAGGCATCAGGATAGATAATAATAAGGTATTTGAGGTAGATATGTACATGAAAGCAGGGTAAAAGTGACTAGGCATCAGGATAGATAATAATAAGGTATTTGAGGTAGATATGTACATGAAAGCAGGGTAAAGTGACTAGGCATCAGGATAGATAATAATAAGGTATTTGAGGTAGATATGTACATGAAAGCAGGGTAAAGTGACTAGGCATCAGGATAGATAATAATAAGGTGTTTGAGGTAGATATGTACATGAAAGCAGGGTAAAGTGACTAGGCATCAGGATAGATAAATAGTAATAATAAGAGTAAAATAAAGAACAGACCAGCAGCATCAAATTACGTGTGTGTGTTTTGTGTTGTCGGTCTGCGTGTAGGTGTTGTGTGTGTATGTAGTGAATGTGTGTGGGTTTTGGTTTTGTGTGGGAGTGTCAATGTAGTGTGTGAGAGTGTATATATAGTCTATTGAGTGTGCGTAGGGTCAGTGCAAGATGCAGGCATTGCAGATAGTTTGGGTATCATTAATTGACTATTTAGCAGTCTGGCTATTTAGCAGTCTTATGGCTTGGGGGTAGAAGCTGTCTCTGAGCTTGTTGGTCCGAGAGCCGATGCTCTGGTACCGTTTGCTGGATGGTAGCAGAGTGAACTGTCTATGACTTTGGTAGCTGGAGTCTTTGGCAATTTTTCTGGCCTTCCTCTGACACCGCCTGATATAGAAGTGATGTACTGGGCTGTCCGCACCACCCTCTGTAGCGCTTTGCGCATTTGCCATACCAAGCGGTGATGCAGCCAGTCAAGATGCTCTCGATTGCACCAAGGGACTTGAAGCTCTCGACCAGCTCCACAACAGCCCTGACGATGTGGATGGGGACATACTCGCCCCTCCGTTTCCTGTCGTCCACGATCTGCTCCTTGGTCTTACTGACGTTGAGGGAGAGGTTGTTGTCCTTGCACCACACTGCCAGGTCTCTGACCTCCTCCTTGTAGGCTGAATCATCGCTGTCGGTGATCAGGCCTACCACGCCGTGTCTTCAGCAAACTTGATGATGGTGTTTTAGTCGTGCGTGGCCATGCAGTCGTGGTTGAACAGGGAGTACAGGAGGGGACTAAGTACACACCCCTGAGGGGCCCCCGTGTTGAGGGTCAGCATGGCAGAGGTTTTGTTGCCTAACATTACCACCTGGGGCCGGCCCGTCAGGAAGTCCAGGATCTAGTTGCAGAGGGAGGGGTTCAGTCCCAGGGTCTCTAGCTTGGTGATGAGCTTGGAGGGGACTATGGTGTTGAACGCTGAGGTGTAGTCAATTAATAGCATTCTCACATAGTTATTTACCCTCTTGTCCAGGTGGGAGAGGGCAGTGTGAAGTGCAATTGAGATTGCGTCATCTGTGAATCTGTTTGGGCGGTATACGAATTGGATTGGGTCTAGGGCAGGGGTGTCAAACGTCCGGCCCGCGGGCCGGATCAGGCCCGCAAACGGGTTTAATCCGGCCCGCGAGATGATAAAAAAATAAAAATAAAACAAACTGCTGTTCCAATTGCATCCACTAGATGGCGCAATAGCAATTGTGTTAAGCAAGCAAACTGTTTATACCGGGGCAGAGCAAGTAGGTCAAGCACGTGCAGCCAATGAGCTACTTTGTTTTGCCCGCGATATTTATTACGGCTTCTACTTTTAACATTATGTGCTTTGGCACCCTCATTGCCCCAATATGTCTCTGTCAAAAAATAGAAAAGTGGACGCAGAGTGTTCCAAGAAAAATGGTCATCCTATTTTTTCACGGAATTGAATGGGAAAGCTGTATGTTTGGTGTGTTCAGAGCATGTTGCAGTGCTGAAAGAATATAACCTTCGTCGCCACTATGTGAGTCTTCATGCCGACAAATATGACAACTTTCAAGGACAGCGGAGATGAGAGAAGGTGAATGAACTGTTGGCGGGTCTGAAGAAACAGCAGTCTGTGTTTACTCACAGCCGAGACATCAGTGACGCTGCAGTGAAAGCTAGCTACCTCATTGCTAATGAAATCGCAGTGGCTTCAAAACCATTTAGTGAGGGTGAATTTGTAAAAACATGCATGATGAAGGCAGCAGAGATTGTGTGCCCTGAAAAGCGGCAGGCTTTTGCAAATATCAGCCTGACAAGAAACACAGTTGCAGACAGGATTTCCGATCTTTCAGTGGATTTGGACAGCCAGTTGAAGCAAAAAGTAAAGTCATTTATTGCGTTTTCGGTTGCAATTGATGAAAGCACGGACATTACAGATGTTGCACAACTGGCCATTTTCATCCGCGGAGTTGATGACACATTGACCGTCACCGAGGAGTTCGTGGAGTTGGTGCCGATGACAGATACAACGACAGCAGCTGATATTTTTACCGCACTCGTCGGCGCGCTGGACAGGGTCGGAGTGGACTGGTCCCGCGCTGTCAGCCTAGCTACATATGGTGCGCCCTCAATGATCAGGAAAAAAGCAGGCGTTGTGACAAAGTTCAGAGAGAAAGTGCAATCTGCAAATGGAGGACGTGATTTTTTGACTTTTCACTGTATTTTGCACCAGGAGGCTTTGTGTTGCAAGTCATTAAAGAAAAATAACGTCATGAAGGTGGTCATCCAAACTGTTAATTTCATCCGATCCAGAAGCCTGAATCACCGTCAGTTTGACAGCCTTCTCAGAGAGAAAGACCACATCTATGGCCTGCCATACCACACTGAGGTAAGATGGTTAAGCCGAGGTGCTGTGCTGATTCTTTGATTTACGAGAAGAAATTGAACAGTTCATGGAAGAAAAGGGCAAACCAGTGTTAGAATTTCATTCCGCAGAATGGATGCAGGACCTTGCATTTATGGTGGATGTTACAGAGCACCTGAATAACTTGAACAAACAGCTGCAAGGGCGCAACAAAGTTGTCACGCAGTATTATGACAGCATACGTTCTTTCAAGTTGAAGCTGTCATTGTGGGAGACGCAACTTGCCGGTGGTGATGCAGCTCACTTCCCCTGTCTGAAAAATGTGTGCGCGACCCAACATGTGGCAGACATGAAGCGGTTCAAAGATAAAATAACGGGACTGTTACGGGAGTTTGAGCAACGCTTTCAGATTTATGTTTATATGTTTTTATGTTGATGTGCTATTGTTTTTAATTGATTTTATTTTATTTGTATATTTAACCTATTCTTGACTCTGTGGTTCTTGCACTTGTTTGGGGAACAGGATTTCATTATTTTTATCTACATTTCTGCCTGAGAAATGACACCCTGATATAGTTCTGTGATCTGTGATATACTTCTGTGAATCACTGAGGCATTGTGTGTTTGTGTGTTCTTTGTCCTCAGAACTTTCAAATAACTTGAGGTGTTTTATGATTAATAGTGATGTTGTGCTTTTGGACACTGTCCTCAGGCTCCAGCTTTATGTTTATATGTTTTTATGTTGATGTGCTATTGTTTTTAATTGATTTTATTTTATTTGTATATTTAACCTATTCTTGACTCTGTGGTTCTTGCACTTGTTTGGGGAACAGGATTTCATTATTTTTATCTACATTTCTGCCTGAGAAATGACACCCTGATATAGTTCTGTGATCTGTGAAACAGTTCTGTTAATCACTAAGGCATTGTGTGTTTCTGTGTTCTTTTTCTTTAGAATTTTCAAATAAACTTGACGTGTTTTATGATTAATAGTGATGTTGTGCTTGTACTATTTTGGACACACTGTCCTCAGGCTCCAGCTTTATGTTGTATGTTGATCGTATTAAAACAAAGAAAACAATCTGAAGTTGTTGTTTTTAAGTTATATACAGGTAAAAGTCAGTAAATTAGAATATTTTGAAAAACTTGATTTATTTCAGTAATTGCATTCAAAAGGTGTAACTTGTACATTATATTTATTCATTGCACACAGACTGATGCATTCAAATGTTTATTTCATTTAATTTTGATGATTTGAAGTGGCAACAAATGAAAATCCAAAATTCCGTGTGTCACAAAATTAGAATATTACTTAAGGCTAATACAAAAAAGGGATTTTTTAGAAATGTTGGCCAACTGAAAAGTATGAAAATGAAAAATATGAGCATGTACAATACTCAATACTTGGTTGGAGCTCCTTTTGCCTCAATTACTGCATTAATGCGGCGTGGCATGGAGTCGATGAGTTTCTGGCACTGCTCAGGTGTTATGAGAGCCCAGGTTGCTCTGATAGTGGCCTTCAGCTCTTCTGCGTTGTTGGGTCTGGCATTCTGCATCTTCCTTTTCACAATACCCCACAGATTTTCTATGGGGCTAAGGTCAGGGGAGTTGGCTGGCCAATTTAGAACAGAAATACCATGGTCCGTAAACCAGGCACGGGTAGATTTTGCGCTGTGTGCAGGCGCCAAGTCCTGTTGGAACCTGAAATCTCCATCTCCATAGAGCAGGTCAGCAGCAGGAAGCATGAAGTGCTCTAAAACTTGCTGGTAGACGGCTGCGTTGACCCTTGATCTCAGGAAACAGAGTGGACCGACACCAGCAGATGACATGGCACCCCAAACCATCACTGATGGTGGAAACTTTACACTAGACTTCAGGCAACGTGGATCCTGTGCCTCTCCTGTCTTCCTCCAGACTCTGGGACCTCGATTTCCAAAGGAAATGCAAAATTTGCTTTCGTCAGAAAACATGACTTTAGACCACTCAGCAGCAGTCCAGCTCTTTTTTTCCTTAGCCCAGGTGAGACGCTTTTCGCGCTGTTTCTTGGTCAACAGTGGCTTGACACGAGGTATGCGGCAGTTGAAACCCATGTCTTTCAAGCGTCTCTTGGTGGTGGATCTTGAAGCCCTGACTCCAGCAGCTGTCCACTCCTTGTGAATCTCCCCCACATTTTTGAATGGGTTTTTTTTCACAATCTTGACTAGGGCGCGGTGATCCCTATCGCTTGTACACTTTTTCTGACCACAGTTTTTCCTTCCCTTTGCCTCTCTATTAATGTGTTTGGACACAGAGCTCTGAGAACAGCCAGCCTCTTCTGCAATAACCTTTTGTGTCTTTCCCTCCTTGTGCAATGTGTCGATGGTCGCCTTTTGGACAGCTGTCAAATCTGAAGTCTTCCCCATGTTTGTGTAGGCTTCAGAACTGGACTGAGAGACCATTTAAAGCCCTTTGCAGGTGTTTTGAGTTAATCAGCTGATTATTTTGTGGCACCAGGTGTCTTCAAAATGTAACCCTTACACAATATTCTAATTTTGTGACACACGGAATTTTGGATTTTCATTTGTTGCCACTTCAAATCATCAAAATTAAATGAAATAAACATTTGAATGCATCAGTCTGTGTGCAATGAATAAATATAATGTACAAGTTACACCTTTTTGAATGCAATTACTGAAATAAATCAAGTTTTTCAAAATATTCTAATTTACTGACTTTTACCTGTATACCATGATTTTTCCGGTCCGGCCCACTTGGGAATAGATTTTCCTCCATGTGGCCCCTGAGCTAAAATGAGTTTGACACCCCTGGTCTAGGGTGTCTGGGATGATGGTGTTGATGTGTGTCATGACCAGCCTTTCAAAGCACTTCATAATTACAGATGCGAGTGCTACAGGGTGATAGTTATTTAGGCAGGTTACTTTGGAGCTCTTTGGAACGGTGAAAATGGTGGTCAGTTTGAAGCATGTTGGGATTACAGATTGGGACTAGGTCGGTGCATGCTTTGAGAACGCGTGTAGGATTCCATCTGGCCCAGTGGCCTTGTGATTGTTAACCTGTTTAAACGTTTTGCTCACATCAGCCACCGAGAGTGAGATCACACAGTCATCTGGAAAAACAGGGATTTCACACAAGGCACAGTGTTATATTCCTCGAAACAAGCATAAAAGGCATTTTGCTCATTTGTGAGTTCTGCATCGCTGGGCAACTCATGGCTGGGTTTCCCTTTGTAATCCGTTATTGTCTGCAAGCCCTGCCACATACGACGAGCGTCGGAGATGGTGTAATAGGATTCCACTTTCCTCCTATATTGTCCTTGTGTGAAAGAGAGAGCAAGACAGTGTTGATGTTTACATGTGTGTTGGAAAGTACCAGTGTCGTTGTATGTGAAATGGTAGGGGAAACAGCTATACCATGGTAGGGGATACACCTGCTAAGTAGCATCCAAGGCTAACCCATATCCCCCTCTCTACTCCCTTCTTTCCTCTATCCCCCTTCTCGTTCGCTCTCTCTCGCACTCTCTCTCTCCCCCCCATACCTCCCTTCTCTTCCCTCCCTCGCTCTCCCTTCTCTCTGTCCGCTGCAGCACCTGCGTCTATCTTTGAACGAGGATGGCCAGTGCCGAGTGCAGCACCTGTGGTTCCAGTCCATATTCGACATGCTGGAGCACTTCCGCGTGCACCCAATCCCCCTGGAGTCTGGGGGTGCCTCGGACGTCACCCTCATCAGCTTTGTGGGCGCCACCGCCGTCCGGCAGCCAGGTAACAGGTCAGGGGTGAAAGGTCACAGGATGTTCCACTAGGATGAAACTATACTGGGTTTATACTGGCCTCTAAAGGCAAGTCTTGGGTGTTGTATGTACATTGTATGTCTGGTATATGTGTTTTTTTCATTGTGATTGGGTTACATGATGCTATTACGTCAGTGAATCAATATAGTGTGCGTGTCATCCCATTGAAGGTCAGGAGTGTGTACTTGTGTGTGTACAGGCCATAAGTAATGTTGTGTGTGCTAAAACATGGCCACTGCATGATGTTTCTGCCAATGTCATTATAACATAAGACTGGCTGCTTTGCGTCCTCATCCTGTGGCCACTACAGCATGGGTGCTTACATGCGCACACACACACTGGAGTGGCTCCGCATGGCTTGGTCCCATCAATTTGCACTGATTTTGGCTTGGATGTTACATCAACCTATACATGCTCCCACCCATACACCCCTGCCCCTTACAACTGCCCCCCCCCTCACACACACTCACACACAATTCCAAATCAACCCCTCGCCCCTACTACCCTCTAAGCCCCTAGGCCCTAGCACTCTACCTCCTCTCCTTCTACACCCTTCTTTCAGTCCCTCCCCTTCCTCCCCCTCTCCCGTGCCTTCCAGAGCTCTGATTGGCTGTCTCTGTTATTGTGTTTTCGTTGGGTCATTCTTCGCAGGCCGGGACAGGGCAGGCAGCCGGCCCACAGTCTGTGATGTCATCACCACGCGCCACCCTGACTCTCCATCAACCCCCATCTCTGACTGTGTGTAAGTGAGACCAGACTCCACAGAGAGAGAGACCGAGAGAGAGAGAGACCGAGAGAGAGAGAGACCGAGAGAGAGAGAGAGAGACCGAGAGAGACCGAGAGAGAGAGAGACCGAGAGAGAGACCGAGAGAGAGAGAGAGGGAGAGAGACCGAGAGAGACAGAGAGAGAGACCGAGAGACAGAGAGAGAGACCGAGAGACAGAGAGAGAGACAGAGACAGAGAGAGAGACAGACCTAGACCGAGAGACAGACCTAGAGCGAGAGAGACAGAGAGAGACCGACCGAGAGAGCGAGACTGCGAGAGAGACAGAGGGAGAAACCTAGAGCGAGAGGGAGAAACCTAGAGCGAGAGGGAGAAACCTAGAGCGAGAGGGAGAAACCTAGAGCGAGAGGGAAAAACCTAGAGCGGAGAGGGAGAAACCTAGAGCGAGGGAGAACCTAGAGCGAGAGGAGAAACCTAGAGCGAGAGGGAGAAACCTAGAGCGAGAGGGAGAAACCTAGAGCGAGAGGGAGAAACCTAGAGCGAGAGGGAGAAACCTAGAGGGAGAAACCTAGAGCGAGAGGGAGAAACCTAGAGCGAGAGGGAGAAACCTAGAGAGAGGGAGAAACCTAGAGCGAGAGGGAGAAACCTAGAGCGAGAGGGAGAAACCTAGAGCGAGAGGGAGAAACCTAGAGCGAGAGGGAGAAACCTAGAGCGAGAGGGAGAAACCTAGAGCGAGAGGGAGAAACCTAGAGCGAGAGGAGAGAAACTAGAGCGAGAGGGAGAAACCTAGAGCGAGAGGGAAAACCTAGAGCGAGAGGGAGAAACCTAGAGCGAGAGGGAGAAACCTAGAGCGAGAGGGAGAAACCTAGAGCGAGAGGGAGAAACCTAGAGCGAGAGGGAGAAACCTAGAGCGAGAGGGAGAAACCTAGAGCGAGAGACAGCCAGAGAGAGAGACAGCCAGAGAGAGAGACAGCCAGAGAGAGACAGCCAGAGAAACAGCCAGTGAGAGCGAGAGAGAGAGAGAGAGAGAGACATACAGTGGGAGAGAGACCTAGAGAGACAGAGAAAGAAAGCGATGGAACGCACCATAGCGTGAGTGTAGAGCTAGCTAGAGTGGCCATTCACCTCAGTGCACTGCTCAGTCTTCCAGTGAAGGTAAAGTTTGCACTAACCTTATCTAGAACGGGACCTACCATAGAGTATTTTTGAGAACACAGCTCACTCCTAGAGCAATGACTTGAGAGACCACCTCTTCTATAGAATGTTGTATCTGCTAAAACGTGTAGGGTCATGTAGAATCTTCATAGAACATTTTCAGACGATGCATTGTTTTGTGTTTTAAATTATATGTATTTAATAGACGGGAACAAGGTATGTGTGTGTATGTGCGTGCACAGTGTGTGTGTGTGTCTCGACTGATTCCATGACTCACATGGACCTGTCACACAGACATCACGGCCATGACACTCACTCTGTCTCTCCCCTCTTCCTCCTCTTCTCCCTTCTCACCGCTCACTCTCTGGAAATGTCACCTTTACCTTGTCCCCCGCCCTGCCCACCCCTCCTTTATTTACACCTTTTGCCACTCTTTCTTTCTCTGCTTTTCTCTTTCGGCTGTTCTTTCCTTCCAACAGACTTGACCAGCAGACCCCGTAGCCCCCCCCAGCCTCCTCCTCCACCCCTGCCCCCCGGCCGGCCGCCACCCCCAACCCCACCCCAGGAACGAGGGAACGAGACAGAGCAGGGAGGTGGAGGAGGAACTGCAGCAACTGCAGGAGGAGGTGCAGGAGAAGGAGTGGAGGACTGGGAGGAGAGGGAAGCTCCTCTCCGCCAACTGGAGGGGGTGGAGGGCGAAGAGCGGGAAGGAGGGAGGGCAAGAGCCATTGACAACCAGTACTCCTTCTTCTGAGGAGGGAGGGGGGTGTTTGTGCGAAAGGGAGAGTGGAGGAGGTGGGAGTCATAGCCATTCATAACCAGTATTTGTATTTTATTACGAGACTGTGAGGGGAGGGGGTTAGAAGGATGTACTAACACTATTAAAACACAAGCATTCTGGGAGATTCAGCAAGATTGAGAGAAAGAGAAAACGGGTGAAAGAGAAGAGAGAGGGATGGGCGCACCTTACAACACTAAAGGTACACTAATGTTTAGCGAGATAAGCTTTTTTGCTGGTACACCTCTTGGTACGCTTTTTGTAGACTTTTGAATCAATTTATGGATGTAGGTAGTGAGAGATATATCCTCTGAACCCAGCAATACCATACCTCAATATCCTGCAGACATTCTACTGGCCAACAGTACACTTTCACAGAGGTAGAGATGAAGGGCAACCATATACTTACAAGGTGTCAAAGAGACTAGGCTAGAACCGGCAGGCAGGATACATATACCTCAGTCACTCTTTCAACCTCTTTCTCTCTGTCTCTCTTTTTCTCTCCACTCATTTTCTGGTTTTCTTTAATGGTAGAGAAGTGGCCAGAGGTAGAGAGAGCGATTATATTTTTCCTTCAGATAAAAAAAAAAACTTTATTATTGATAATAATAATAATAATGATGATGATGATACGATTAACAATAATGATAATGGAAATAATGATGGTCGGAAATAGTATTAATTTTATTTTGTTTTTTTTAAATGCCTTTTATTGTATGTTGTTTACTCCATGTAATGCGTAACACTTGTTCCTGCCCCCATCCGGTTATTTCAGTTGAAGTTTGTTTGTGCCTTTTTTTATATTGCTAAGACTCATACTCAGTCTTTCCCTCACGCTCATAGTGTCCTCTCCTCCATTAAAATTTATTTTTAATGTGCAGAAATAGAAAATAAGAAAGATATAAGGGAGGGAAAAAAACTTTTTCTACTCGTGCCTTTCTGTGTTGTCACCTCTGTCATACTCCTTCAACCTGTGGCTCGGTTGTGTAGCCATGTCCGTCTGTCTGCCATTCAGTTCAGTGCCTCTTTCTTTCTCTTTGTATCTCCCTCCTTCCTCTCTTTGTTTATACTTTTCCTTCTTCTGTTTGTCCTCTACTCAGAGCCTTGTAATCATATTTTACACATCTTACCCATCCCCCTGTTCATCCTTTTCAAATTTTGAACTCTATTTGTGCCTTTCTGTCTCGGTCTGTCTCTCGCTCTCTCTTTTGCTGGGACCTTGTGTTGACGGTGGGCAGAGTTTTGTCCAACCTGTGTGGTTAGTTTCAGGTACTACATTGAATTTAATGATATTATATAATATAATTATACTGAAACATTATGGCCTCGTGTGTTGTTGCTTTGGTTCACTGTTATTGTTTCTTACTGAATAAAGGGGAAGGATGTAAATGAATGTTACAGTAATTATTGCAGCGTTGGGTTGTCACTAGTTGCCACAAAGTCAAATGGCTATATCATAAACATTCTTGGGAAAAACATCACTTTTTGTTCATAATTTAAGGTTAGGTTTAAAATCAGATTTTAAGAAGATACGTTTTAGAAATAGTCGGGGTTTCGCTGTAAACTAGTGACGACCGCAGAATTGGGGTCTAAACGGTTCAGCGCGTGCACGTTCTTAGATTGTGAATGCGCACATACACACTCGTACACGCCCCCATCAACCCAGTCAGTCAGCCACGCGCAGACTACAACATCTTTGTGGTGCCAAACCGGCGAATTTGTTTTCCCCGAGTTTTAGAATCTATTCAAGTTACAAATGACATGCAATCGGAGTAAGCCATACGCAAGAGTATATCTACGGAAAGGAAACGAAAAACTACGTGCTAAAAGTTTTAGCTACAGAAGGGACATTACTGCTTGCCCGTCTAGCTAGCCATTGAGCTAGCTATAACGTGCAAGGCTGTACTACAGTAGCCAGCTAAGCTTTCGATCAAGTTCCGAAGAGGCAATGTCTTTTCGTCGACAGAACGTAAGTTGTAGTCGTATTAAGTTGCTAAGCAAGGGTAGCTTGCTGCTACATGTATTGTTTTCTGTATGAATTCTAGCTAGTTTGTTCGATATTTGTTAGCAGCTAAAAGTTGGCTAGCTAACGTGAGCTTTATCGATGGTGTCCTCATTGACTTACTTGTACACTAGCTAGGTAGTCAGTCTGGTAATGTCAAATACTATTTAGTAGACTAAAGGCAAATTGAATCAGTATAACTGTTACTTGAGGTGTAATTATTGGCATGTGTCACACCAGCAACAACCCGGTTCAGGCGGACGAAAAACCTCGAATGGAACGGCAGGGCCAGCAGGTTTACCCCCTCATATCAGCGGGAACAATACCAACAGAGCTGTGCCTGGAAGGTAAGCATATGTTCGGCCACAGTCGTCAAGCAAGTCCGGGGATCTGCCACATATCCATAGAGGTTTACCGGTCAATACGAGGATTACAGTGGGCGTGCCCATGTGAAACGGAGGCTTTAACTCGATGTTTAAAGCAAATTGGAACGAAGTAAATATGATAGATGTATGTTGCGGCCAATGGCCACAGATGGTCTGTTAAACCGACATTGGTATGATTGACTGGTGTCCGAACCAATGGGATAGACGATACATTTGATTGACGCAAATATGCCCATTCACTTTCTGTGGGGAGGGGATTATCCGTGTGTTTGTTGTTTTTTCAAGCGTTTGCTTTAGGTTTTGTTTGGCCTGTCAAGTCGTGTGATTTTTCACAGAATCAACAAGACTGCGGAGTAACAGGGATGCACATGACTAAAAAGTATTAACACTCTTTTGTTATTTATTGTATTCAACGTGTCTCTCGATATCTAGCAATTCTTAAATTATTTACCGGTTTGCAGTTAGTTTCCTCCTTACTAGCTGTCTTGTTTAGCTTGCCAGCTAACGTTAGCTAGACAACAAATAGCTAACTATTGTATTGTACCTAAACTAGCTATTGTTTAGATTTTTTATCGTATGACAATCTCGCCGGTTACTCCAAATTGATAGCCAGTTACTAGATTACTTTAGTTAAAATAGTTGCACGTTAGCAGGCTACCGCTAGGTAACGTTAGCTACATTGTTAGCCAAATCGCATTAGCGTTACCTTCGGTTTTAGCTAACCCCAGTTAGCCAGCTTGTGTCAACACAGTTGTTTTCGTTAAGCCTCGCAAACAATGTCGAACGACACAGTAATAGAGAACAGAACATGATCCGCTACGGGTCTAGCTTGTCCCCCCCTAATGTCATAGCTAACTAACGCGTAGATCACCGGCGTCTGCACGCATCCGTGACGGTGATCAGTCTTTTGCTCGACGACTGCATAGACCGGTCTCCTAGATCATCTAGCCATGCAGTCCTATGACAGATCGAGAACCAACACGCTAAAAAGTCCGTATTTGATCAACGCAATGTCCCGTGGCCATAATGCTTCGCAAGTTTGCATGTTAGTTAGCTACATTGAAAGTGGTGCAGCTGCCGGCCTATTTCTTGCTTTGCAGCATTTTGCCCCCAAGACAGCTACACCCATTTGTCTTGTCTGTTGCTAATGTTCTCTCCTCACATTCAGGACAAGAAATACAATGAAGCCTCCATCTCAGCCCTCTCCCGTAAGTCACATATCATGAAATGTAGGCTATCCAGCATGTACTACAGCCGTTTTATGTAACAGTGCATAGCCTAGTACTCGTTTGATGACATTATCTAGGTTGTCTTTCTCTTTGTTTGCTTCCATACCATTGTACAAAGTGAAAACTCTAAAATGTTGAAAGGAAATTGTGGGTAGAGTAAGGTCACATTTTTGGAGCTTTGAAATAGAGGTCCATGCCATACTGAAGTCAGACATGTTTGTTTGCAACTCGCAGGTATTTGAAGGTGTCTACAACAACACCAGGATGCTTCACTATCTCACCGCTGTAGTGGTGAGTGTTCATTTGGTCATTTAGGCCCTGGTCCACCATGGTACCTTTGATGCAACACATACACTATGCCCTAATGTGCACTCTTTCCACTATTTAAGTTGTCTACTAATGTATATCTTCATGAAATGACCAATAACCATATTATTCTATATATTTTTATTATTATCCTTCAAGGGTTCCACCTGTGATGTCCGAGTGAAGAGTGGAAATGTGTATGAAGGAATCTTCAAGACCCTCAGCTCAAGGGTAATTTTATTCTACCTTGTATCCGGCCGCGTCCGGGAGACCCATGGGGCGGCGCACAATTGGCCCAGCGTCGTCCAGGGTAGGGGAGGGAATGTCCGGCAGGGATGTAGCTCAGTTGGTAGAGCATGGCGTTTGCAACGCCAGGGTTGTAGGTTCGATTCCCACGGGGGCCAGTATGAAAAATAAAATTAAAATAATGTATGCACTCACTAACTGTAAGTTGCTCTGGATAAGAGCGTCTGCTAAATGACTAAAATGTAAATGTATTAGACGGCAGGTAGCTTAGTGGGTAAGAGCGTTGTGCCATAACCGAAAGGTCGCTGGTTCTAATCCCCCGAGCGACTATGTGGAAAAATCTTTCGATGTGCCCTTAAGTCAAGGCACTTACCCTATTGTCTCCTGTAAGTCCGGCTCTGGATAAGAGCGTCTGCTAAATGACTAAAATGTAAAATGTAAACATACAGGGGTGTTCTGCATACAGACACGTTATAGACCCCTCCTAGAAACATGGTTGTGGTCAGAGGTTCACCTTGATCTCGGGTGTATTCATTAGTCGGATCTGTTACAAAAAATAGTCAGTTGCACATCTGAATGCATTCAACCGAAATGTGTCTTCCGCATTTAACCCAACCCCTTTGAATCAGAGAGGTGCGGGGGGCTGCCTTAATCGATGTTCACGTCATCAGCGCCCGGGGAGCAGTTGTTCAAGGGCTCTGGGATTTGAACCAGTAAACTATCAAATCACATTTTATTGGCCACATGCGCCGAATACAACAGGTGCAGACATTACAGTGAAATGCTTACTTACAGCCCTTAACCAACAGTGCATTTATTTTTTAATAAAAAAGTAAAATAAAACAACAACAACAACAACAAGCCCAGTCGATGAAAATGGGAGCGTGCTCAGTCCTCTTTCTTTTCCTGGCCCACTGCTCTTAACCGTTAGGCTACTTGCCACCCCTTTTACCGTTTACTCTAGGGACTAGTGTTGTCACAATACCAGATTTTTGACTTCGATACCAGGTTTACTCGATACATCACGATGGATACCAAAACGATACTACATCTCTATTGATAAACTGGGTAAATTAAGATGTAGCCTATCCAAAAACAAGGTGAATGCATATTCAATAGGAGTGTGTGCACGCATTGAGTTATTGAGCTTGTTTTGGCTGATTTCATGGGGCTACAGATGACAATCTCTTTCTCTTTTCCCTTCGATTTGGGACTTATTTTAGTGTACTGATCAACATTTGCATTGAAGTAGTTTATTTTATAAAAATGTGCGCTGTCTACCAGTAATAAGTAATTCATGATGCAAGAGGGGGGCGGCCCGTAGGAGCTGTCAGTTCGCTGAGGCAATAGATCATCTTTGGGAGAGAGACGTGAGAGAGACCGAAATAAGATAATTAATATATATTTTTTTGTGTCAATCAGCTTTGAAATCAGCATATTTTGCATTATGGTTTGCGTTATAGTTCACAAAGTACTAGGGTAGTGAATTGATGTTAGTTTTAGCTGTCAGCTAGCAAGGAAAGTTGGCCTACAATAGCTGGAAGCTACCGGTGTCGTCGTGCATTGTAAAGTGTTCTAGCCTATATTGACATTGTTTTGCAAACAATAAGTAACAGTCTCAAAATTTCTGCACATTTGACAGAAGTACCGAAAGTAACACAAATCTAGTACCGAACAGTTTATCATGTTCTATTATCGAAAAACTACCGACGTTTTGGTATACCATGCAACACCAGGAGGGACCTACCTGAAATTGTCCAATAGAAACTTGTTTTCGTTGCAAAACGTTTTACGTTTGGAGTAAATGGTTTCCGTTGCAAAATGTTTTGCAACAGACAGTGTTTTGCAATGGAATCAATATAATGACTACACCCCAGGTCACATTGACCACTGCCTGCAGTCACTCTTCAGTTAACCTCAGTGGTCCTAATGTGTGTTTACTCCAGTGTGAGCTGGTGGTCGACGCAGTCCACAAGCGGAGCGAGGGAGGAGAGGCGGATGGAGACGGAGGGGGAGGCTTGCCCCCCTCCCTGCCCAGGATCGAGGAGATCACAGACACCATGATCTTCAGCCCCGGCGACCTGGTCACAATGACTTGCCGAGATGTGGACCTCAACTACGCCATCAGAGGTAAGTGTGTGTGTGTGAGAGAGTGCGCGTTGTCAGTGTGACTGAAACTGATTCAAGATAAGGATGTGTGTTTAAGTAAGCAGTCGAACTGAATGAGACAGATGGGAGGGTGAACCAAGTGTGTGCGTGCATCATTATGTACCCCTAGTAGATGACACATTATACCTTCAAATTTGGGCATTGTGTGTGTGTGTGTAGATGCTTTCACAGATACAGCAATCAGCTCATCGCGGGTGAACGGGGAGCACAAGGAGAAGGTGCTGCAGCGGTGGGACGGAGGGGACAGCAACGGAGAAGGCTTCGACCTGGAGACGGACACGGTGAGGCGCATAGACACAGTAGCTAGTTTTCCATCCAATTCACAATTTTTTTTTGTGATAAATAGAAAACTTGCCCAATCTGGTTTTGGTACATGCTCTCAAGACAAGTTTGCTGATACAGTTGACAGGGGGTTATATGATGATATGGATAAGAGCAAGATACATATATTTTTTGATAATGGCAGTCAAGCACCAATCATCATGTCACCAGCATTTAAATAACACCCTCAATATTGATTGGAAATGTCCATGAAACTCAACGTGCCCTTAACCACAATGTGAAGTTCATAACTTATTTCATCTGCCTATAAACCCTTTATGCTTTTACACGACGTGATGGTAGTAGGCTACAACAACGTAACATATCATCGTGTGACTCCAAGTTAATTTTTCGACATGGTGGTTATTACAGTGGGGGGAAAAAGTATTTAGTCAGCCACCAATTGTGCAAGTTCTCCCACTTAAAAAGATGAGAGGCCTGTAATTTTCATCATAGGTACACGTCAACTATGACAGACAAATTGAGGAAAAAAAATCCAGAAAATCACATTGTAGGATTTTTAATGAATTTATTTGCAAATTATGGTGGAAAATAAGTATTTGGTCACCTACAAACAAGCAAGATTTCTGGCTCTCACAGACCTGTAACTTCTTCTTTATGAGGCTCCTCTGTCCTCCACTCGTTACCTGTATTAATGGTACCTGTTTGAACTTGTTATCAGTATAAAAGACACCTGTCCACAACCTCAAACAGTCACACTCCAAACTCCACTATGGCCAAGACCAAAGAGCTGTCAAAGGACACCAGAAACAAAATTGTAGACCTGCACCAGGCTGGGAAGACTGAATCTGCAATAGGTAAGCAGCTTGGTTTGAAGAAATCAACTGTGGGAGCAATTATTAGGAAATGGAAGACATACAAGACCACTGAAAATCTCCCTTGATCTGGGGCTCCACGCAAGATCTCACCCTGTGGGGTCAAAATGATCACAAGAACAGTGAGCAAAAATCCCAGAACCACACGGGGGGACCTAGTGAATGACCTGCAGAGAGCTGGGACCAAAGTAACAAAGCCTACCATCAGTAACACACTACGCCGCCAGGGACTCAAATCCTGCAGTGCGAGACGTGTCCCCCTGCTTAAGCCAGTACATGTCCAGGCCCGTCTGAAGTTTGCTAGAGTGCATTTGGATGATCCAGAAGAGGATTGGGAGAATGTCATATGGTCAGATGAAACCAAAATAGAACTTTTTGGTAAAAACTCAACTCGTCGTGTTTGGAGGACAAAGAATGCTGAGTTGCATCCAAAGAACACCATACCTACTGTGAAGCATGGGGGTGGAAACATCATGCTTTGGGGCTGTTTTTCTGCAAAGGGACCAGGACGACTGATCCGTGTAAAGGAAAGAATGAATGGGGCCATGTATCGTGAGATTTTGAGTGAAAACCTCCTTCCATCAGCAAGGGCATTGAAGATGAAACGTGGCTGGGTCTTTCAGCATGACAATGATCCCAAACACACCGCCCGGGCAACGAAGGAGTGGCTTCGTAAGAAGCATTTCAAGGTCCTGGAGTGTCTAGCCAGTCTCCAGATCTCAACCCCATAGAAAATCTTTGGAGGGAGTTGAAAGTCCGTGTTGCCCAGCGACAGCCCCAAAACATCACTGCTCTAGAGGAGATCTGCATGGAGGAATGGGCCAAAATACCAGCAACAGTGTGTGAAAACCTTGTGAAGACTTACAGAAAACATTTGACCTGTGTCATTGCCAACAAAGGGTATATAACAAAGTATTGAGAAACTTTTGTTATTGACCAAATACTTATTTTCCACCATAACTTGCAAATAAATTCATAAAAAATCCTACAATGTGATTTTCTGGATTTTCTTTTCTCATTTTGTCTGTCATAGTTGACGTGTACCTATGATGAAAATTACAGGCCTCTCATCTTTTTAAGTGGGAGAACATGCACAATTGGTGGCTGACTAAATACTTTTCTCCCCCACTGTATATCAATAGTTGCACATAACAGCGTTTCCACCACAATTATGGCAATCTATTTCACAGACCAAAAAATGACGTTGATGAAAAATGATGTTGTCGACAATAGGATGTTTTGACGACAAATGTACTGTTTGTATCCGGCCTGTTGTGAGTTTAAAAAAAAAAGTGTCAGGTAATTACTCTCCATGAAATGGATGGATGGAATCCTGGTCACTGACGCACACACACACAGACTTGGTGAGACACAGGCACACACTGACTGTACGGTTCTTCTGTCTCCGTCAGTCTAATGGCTGGGATGCCAGCGAAATGTTCAAGTTTAACGAGGAGACATATGGCGTCACGTCCACCTATGATTCCAGCCTCTCCATGTACACGTGAGTATCCTCCCCTCGGCTCCTTATTCTGATTGTGAAATATGCTCTGTCTATATAGCTCTGTATCATTCTGTCTTAGGCAGCGTTTACACAGGCAGCCCAATTCTGATATTTTTTCCGCTAATCGGTCTTTTGACCAATCACATCAGATCATTTTCAGAGCTGATTGTTCAGAAGACCAATTAGTGAATAAAAGATCAGAATTGGGCTGCCTGTGTAAACACAGCCTTATTCACTCACAACACCCTTTCTCTCTCTCACACATGTTTTTGAATGACCTTGGAAGTCTTATCTCGGTCTTTCTCCCCCTTCAGTGTTCCCCTGGAAAGGGGCAGCTCGGATGGCTTCCGGCAGCGGGAGGCACGCGCGGCCCGCCTGGCGAATGAGATCGAGGGCAGCCCCCAGTACCGTCACCGCACCAACCTGGAGAATGACGACAAGAGCGAGGAGGACAAGTACAGCGCTGTTGTCCGAGAGAGAGACGAGGGGAGGGAGAGGGGCAGCCCCGGATTCCAGAGCAGTGCCGGGAGCAGGTGAGTCCGGAGGGGAATCGCAGACATACACACGCTTAGTTGTACACTCAACACATGGGCGCATAAACACAGTTGGCGAAACTGCATCTGTGCGAGGATGTAGGCTACTCACTCAGTTGGTTACACAGACAGACGTAACGCCACTCTAACATACACTGAACAAAAATATAAATGCAACATGTAAAGGGTTGGTCCCATGTGTCATGAGCTGAAATAAAAGATCGCAGACATTTTCCATGAGCACCAGAAGCTTATTTAGCTCACATTTAGTACAGAAATGTGTTTTCATCCCTGTTAGTGAGCATTTCTCCTTTGCCAAGATAATCCATCCACCTGACAGGTGTGGCATATCAAGAAGCTGATTAAACAGCACGGTCATTACACAGGTGCACCTTGTGCTGGGGACAATAAAGGCCACTCTAAAATGTGCTGTTTTGTCACACAATACAATACCTTTTTATTTAAGGTATCTGTGACCAACAGATGCATATCTGTATTCCCAGTCGTGAAATCCATAGATTAGGGCCTAATGAATTTATTTAAATTGGACTGATTTCCTTATATGAACTGTAACTCAGTAAAAAAACAAATGTGTTGCATGTTGCGTTTATACTTTTGTTCAGTTTATCTCTCTCTCTCTAGGGAGGGTAAATACATTCCTCTTCCCCAGAGGGCCAGGGAGATGGGTGTGTCCCCCAGCAGCCTGAGGGGCGGAGCCTCTGGTCCAATACCCAATCGAACAGGAGCCCCTGGCTCCTCGAGACCCTCCCAGGGTTCTGATAGGAGCAGCCCACTGTCCGTCAGGGGCGCCTACTCTCCCCACCAGTCCCAAGCCAGCCCCCCGGCCCAGCCCAGCACCCCTACTCCCTCCTCTTCCTCCTCTCACCCGATCCCTCACTCCATCTCTCACCCACAAGCTCTGGCCGAAGCCTCACGCTCTTCTGTCAACGGAGGTAAGGCCTCTGTCTGTTTGGGTATATTGAGGGAGGGAGTGTGTGTGTGAGGTTTTGTATATATTGAGTGTTAATTGTGCTCTTTCTGCGTATCAGTGTCATCCAGAACTTCCCCCAAAGCCCAGAGATCCGTACAGAGCAATAGAACTCTGCGCAACCCAAGCTCCCAGTCCTCACCTGCAGGTACACACACCCACCTCATCTGAAAGTGCACAGAAAGGCACATTTCAACGACTCATAGTCTAGACTATTTACATCCCTCACCTCTCCTTTTCCCTTCTCTCTCCCCGCAGTCTCTCGCTCTCCAAAACCAGACGACCCCGCTCTAGCTGGCCCCATCTACCTGGACACTTCCTCCTCCTCGATCGCCTCGGCAACACCCAAGTCCTCTGGCCCCACCCCTCTGTTCACGGTGGATGGTGAGGAGGAAGATGCTGATTACTGCACTATCTTTTTACAGAATTGTTATTTATTGATCTATTGAAGTTCTTTTTGTGTATCGTTTTTAATGAATTCTGTTCCTCTCTCTCTTTATCTCTCTCCATTTGTCTCTTGCTTTCTTTTTCTCTCGCTCTCAGTGAATGAGATCCTGAGCTCAACGGCTAAGGAGAGGACTGAAGGTCCAGCCAGCCCTCAGGATGGCAAGAGTGGCAAAGGTTAGCTTTCCTTCCTCTCTCCATTTGACTGGTCCCTGTCCTTTCCCCTCTTTTGAAAAATAGATTTTCTCTCTCCCTCTCAGTTCCCTCAGTCCTGCAGAGAACACAGTTGGAGGAGCTACGGAAATTTGGCAAAGAGTTCAGGGTAAGTGTGTGCCTCGTGTCCATGCATGCCTGTGTTACCCATGTATGTTATCTGATTCTGACACTCTCGCGCTCTCCCACAGCTCCAGCCCAGCTCCTCCCCTTCTGCTGGCCCCGCCTCCTCAGAACCCGCCCAGCCCTCCCCATCAGACTCCGCCACCACAGCCGAGTCCAAACCCGCCCCTGGCCACACTCCCTCCCAGGACCCCCAGACTGGAGAGGGGTCCTCCTTCACCCCTACCTCCACCACCCCTACCCCCTCTCCAGCCCCCAACACCGCCTCTCAGTCATCAGGTCCAGACAGGCAGGCTGCAGGGACACCCCAGCCAGCCAGGACCCCTGGCAGCGAAGAGGGCGGCGAGCGAGCAGAGGGTGTGGCTGAGTAAGTTTGAACAGTACAGTACAGTATTCCTCAGTGCAGTACAATCTACTCCTAAGTCTAACTGTGGGTATTAGGTTATCTGTTATATGTAGTAGTGTTGATTAGGGGGTGTAACTGTTCACCAAACCAATGGTTTGGTAAGTATTAAGGTTGTGGGGTCACAGGAAAAATGTAATGTCATTCACAATGTTCAGCATTCACAATGTTCCTAGCATTGTCTGTTGTGACCGGATTGGTATGTTGGGCCTCAAGATGTCCACTCCGATGCTGCGTTTGTAACCATGTGGGAGGCGGGAATTTACCAGTTGTGAAGTTGTAAATACCAGTTGGATGTATTCATGTGATTTTAACTCGTTGCGAAATGCCGATTGGCTAATGGCCAACAACCTATAACCATAAACTAAAAGTACAGCTATCATGCAAATGATAGTGCTTTTTATAAATAATGTTTTGTTGCATTTAACTGCCGAAAGTGCTGTTATTGAGGCCATTTCCTTAGTAGGTGATGTCAGAGGTCAACATGTGGGAGAAGTTGGTGCTCAGGATGATAGATGAGTTTCCCACTAGTAATTACCAGTTTGAGGGCCGTTCAAGTGGGTTTGTTCCCAGTCGTATGTGGTAAATTCCCACTTCCCTCTTGATTATGAACACTGCCTCCTTCAGTGCCAGATGCGCGTCTCACTCCGGGGTAATGTGATGGGCTCACTGTTAAGTAAGCGCAACACTGGGTGCATAGGCCAATTCATTGGGAACTTATGCTCTGGTTTGTGTATATAGAGCAAGTAACCTGTTTGCTGAAATGGGCGCAAGAGGGAAGTTCGTAAACCTCTACTGAAACCCCCTATGCTCAACCACTGAGAATGGGTGCATAAACGCAGCTATAAACCACACTTTAAAGACCTATCGCTCTTGTAAACTCTTTGGCCCAGTCAGAATCAGCTGCCAAGGGCTGCTTGAATGCAGAGGGGAAACGATGTGTTGCTGTTTCTTTGAGTTTCCATCTTGCTCCGGTATACTGGGGTGACGCCGTCGTAAATGTCAACATATTTATAGGCTATTCTCATTGAGCAGTGGCGACCGTACAGTTAACGTTTTATCCACAGCTCTCTGTCCATTGCCGTTGTAGTCTGCTGGGAAGCCAAAATGTTCCGAAACTGGAGATTTGAATGACGATGGAGGATCCTCCAATTCTGGTTTATCGACCCCACCACTCGCCATCGTACAGAACTAGTTCCAGACTGTGCCTCACAAAAGGACAGTTTGAAATGCGCCAGTTAAGATTAGAATTTGGATTACAACATGTGCATAGGCTCTAGTTGTTTTAACAGAATAGCCTACAATGTTTTTTCAGCTCAGATTTACTCGAGGCATAGGCCTACAATCCATTCGGGTTCACAGTGCGGACTGAACTGAGGTCCTTGTACCGACCGGTTTGGTACGAATAAGTGTACCGTTACACCCCTAGTGTTGATAAGATGTGTTGACACACCTTTCTGTAGGTATTATGCTAGGGCTGGGCGATATATCATGAATACCGATATGAATCCACATACCGGTATGGATTTGTACAATACCGTATATAACAAATATGTTGATACATTAAGTCAAAAGTGAGCCCCAAGCTCAGGTGGGCAAGGTAGTTGCCATGTTGAGGATGTATGGAAAAGGGATTTGAAAGATGATTTGGAGTACTCATCTCGCTCTCCTGTGTGTTTTTTAGTCAGGTGAAGAAGTCTACGCTGAACCCCAACGCCAAAGAGTTCGTCTTCAAGGCACCCATGACCCTGGTCTGTCACACACACACGCGCACACACACACACACACACAGGAAAGTAGTTGAGAACAAATTCTCTCTCACAACAACCTGTTTGGCCAGGAGTCCAACTATATATTCAGACACATACTCGCACACCAAATGTAACTGTGTGCGTGATTTGTTCAACTAAACTCACATTATCTCACAAACCAACCTAAACTGTGCGCGTTCTCTCCTCCCCAGGTGAAGCCGTCCCCAGCCCCCACCCCCCCGCGGCCCACTCCTCCCAGCCCCTCCGTGGTGCTCCAGCCCCCCCCGGGACAACAGGCCATCTACAGCACCCCCTACCTGTCCTACCTCTCCCCCGTACAGCTACAGGGACACTCTGTACAGGTATGACTAGGACTGAGGCTGTGTGTGTGTGTGTGACTTCTGTCTCTGAAAAATAAGCATTAGTGTGTCTGGGGTGTATACATTTGAGGTTGGGGTCTAACTGTCCTTTGTTTCCCCAGGCTCCCCAGATGTATCAGTACACCATGTCTACAGTCCAGCAGGGGAAATATCCCAGAGCTAAAGGTATACACACTTACACCATTCTGTTACCTAATGAATAGGTTGGTCGCAACACTGTCATAACCGTTCTCTCTCTATTCAATGTTACGCTCTTTTAATTTAGCAACTCGGGAACATTTGAAATCAACAAGTAAAGAACTAGATTAAAGTTATGACCACAATGATCAGTATGTTAATAACCCTCTCCCCCCTCCCAGGCCAGGTGGTAGGCCCTCGTCCGGACCACCACGGCTCTTCTCAGCCCCAGATGCTCCAGGCTGCAGCGTCTGCAGCAGGCCCTCCCCTGGTGGCCTCCCCCTACCCCCAGGCCTACCTACAGTACAGTCAGGTCATCCAGGGCATGCCCCACTACCCCGGACAGGTAGCTAACTACCATGCTAATGTTGCTAATGCTAACCAGGCCATGCCCCACTACCCCGGACAGGAAGCAAACTACCATGCTAATGTTGCTAATGCTAACCAGGCCATGCCCCACTACCCCGGACAGGAAGCAAACTACCATGCTAATGTTGCTAATGCTAACCAGGCCATGCCCCACTACCCTGGACAGATAGCTATTGTGCTAGTGGTGCTGGCGCTAATACTTGTCCACGCTTATAACAGCATAGGCCCGGAGACCAACAATGTGTGTTGTGGATGGAGGTTTTGTTTCAATAACATTTTCTGATTCCCTTTTTTCACTCTTTTTCTTTATTTCTTTCTTCCTCTCTTCTCTCCCCTTCTCTCGTTCTTTCTCCTCTCCCTATTTCTCTTTCTCGCTCGTCTCCCCCCCCCCCCGTGCTAGCCGGTGTACTCCATGCTGCAGGGTGGGGCCAGGATGTTGACTCAGGCGGGCCACCCCCAGGCTCTGGGCCCCCCAGGCCCCCAGTACCCCGGACAGACCGAGGGGCCCCCGGGACCACAACAGGCCATGTATGGTAAGATAACGTCTGTTTAAAAGTACACTGAGCAAGACTTCATTGTAGTCGTGTACAGGACAACGTCCTGCTAACAGACATTCATATCAATACAATTCATTTCTTCTAAGACTGTCATTGTTCAAGGCTCTTTGGTTTGTAAATTATGTTTGAATCCACATACATGGTTCACGTTAGTCTTCCATCTGTCTCTTAGCCCCCCAGCAGTTCTCCCACCATTCTAGCTCCATGCACCCTCCCCAGCCCTCCAGCACTCCCACTGGGAGCCAGCCCCCTCCCCAGCACACTGCCCCCAGCCCTGGGCACGGACAGGTAAACCAAATAGCCCAGCATTGTGTGTGTGTATATGCATGTATGTTTTGTCACATACACCGGATAGGTGCAGTAAAATGTGTTGTTTTACAGGGTCAGCCATAGTAGTACGGCGCTTTTATGAGTTATCTTTTTTACGCGTAACTTTTTCAAATTAGGTAATATTATTAGTTACTTTGTCCAAAAAAACGTGTGCGTTACTTTCAGAATCGGGGACGTGTTTCCATGATCCGATCTTGACTTCTTCCCTCATTTAGTTCTCGAGCAAGTGGAGAAAGGCTGTTTTAGAGAGATGTCATAACTGCTGCTGTCCATAGAAGTGTATAGAGGGCGCACCTCTGATCTTTGCTATTGATCGCTTCTGTGATAGCAAAGCCCATAGAGGGTTTTCCCTGTCTAGTGGAAAGTGTGCCCTTTATACATCTCTATGGGTTGTGTATGTGCGGTCTATAACCAGAACTGGCAGCTCGAGAGAGATTTTGAATGAAAAGAGAACCTGTTCAGATGTTTGGATTACAGTCAGGGCCGGTGTTATGGGCGGGCCTTAGAGGGCCTGGCCGACCCGACCCCGTACCTCCTTGCCCGTCCAAATAAAATATTGAAATATTGATTATTTATTTGACCGAGACGTGCAACGACAGAAAGACACATCTATCTCAGATATAGCATCCAAGCGAGCGAAACGGCGCCCCTCTGTCTCGGTATGTGTTGTCGCCTGCATAGAGCCCCACAGTGGAGGTGTCATAATACCCATAAAACCTAGCGGTCAAACAGGGAAATGGTTCCAATTGTTTTTCTTTTGCTTAACCTGGCGTAACTTTTCTCTCAGACAAGGTGACTTTTTTATCAATATATTCAGCTCTATTTACTCTGATTCAAACATGCTAATTAGCATAAAAGTAGACATCGTGCAAGACCACAAATCCCTGCAAGCTCCTGCACGTCATCTCTAGCTGACAACTTTGCTAACAGGTATTGTGTCAATGTAAAACTTGCACAAGACAGTTAACAGAATTGTCCATTTAAAGAAATGTAGCCAATTTATTAATTACTACATTTAGCTCACATTAGATAGTTAATCCAGAGATTCTTACCGTTGCCTCCATTCATCAGTCTCAACCAGAACATGGCATTTGTAGTTCTTTATGATAGCCACATTAGCATTTCATTTTGGTGGGGGTAAATACAGGCAAATATATTGATAAAAAAGTAACCTTGTCCTAGAGAAATTCAGTTATCAAAACAAAACACAGCCCATATTTTAAGTGTTTCTAAAAAAAATAAAACCTATGGGGAAAATGAATGGTGGAAAAACTATAGGAACCATTTCCCTGTTTGACCGCTAGGTTTTTGGGGTATTATGACTCATACAGTGGTACTCTATTCCCGCCTTTGGTACAACAACTCCCATTGTTAGGGCGGAGACGTGCATTATTATATACATATTTCTGGTTTCAGCCACTTGCGAATTGGAAAGGAAAGTTGGTGGGTGCACAGTGTACTGTTCGGATGTCTGGCTTACCCTACATTGATGTTTTGCCAAAATTATATAATTACTCCTGTCTAAATAAAATAGTTCACCAGAGAGCATGACTCAGCCACAGAGTATCATTAGCTTCTTGAAGAAAAAAAAGTGAGTGACTCTTGTCAGTCAGTGTATACTACCGAATCGCATCGGTGAGAAAGCCATTCATTTGGCTCCCTAATTTGCATAGGCTATTGGTAGGCCTGGGCTTTTGGGCGGTTATCTGCTGATATATTATGAAAACATTCGACGAAGATGGTGAATCTTCACCGCAGCAATAGGTAGTGGGGAGCCTCATTCTGGTCCAAATATGATAATTAGGGCCCTCATGGAATCCAGGCATTAAAACAGAATTCAACAATATTCAGAAATGTATTGACCTTAGGAAGGAATCAACTAAATGTATGGATTCAAATCATCAAAGATGATGATTAGTCGATCATTTGAGTCAGCTGTGTAGTGCTAGGGCAAAAAACAAAAATGTGCACCCCTTTGGGTCCCCAGGACCAGGATTACAAAAGTGATTTGACCTTTTAATTAATTTTAAGATAATGTGGGCTATTTACTTAATTTTTCAGTTTTTAATCAAATATATAATTTGAAAAACAAACATCTTTCTGACAATTCATATCTTGCAGTAAAACCGTTAATACGACTAATCTCAAGACGCAAAATGTTTAAAGTTTAATGTTCCCTTACTTAGAAAATAGTCCGGATCATGTAGATATCCAATTAACAAACTGAATTCATACATTTTCTGTAATTTAAATTGTGAAGTAGTCTTTCTACACAATACAACACATTTTTCCATCTGGGAGGTAAACTCAATAGTTTTCAATAATTTTGCTGAGTATTTCAGATGGAATCATGGCATTAGAATTATAATAATAATTATAATAATATGCCATTTAGCAGACGCTTTTATCCAAAGTGACTTACAGTCATGCGTGCATATTTTTTTATTTTTTTTATTTTTGTGTATGGGTGGTCACGGGGATCGAACCCACTACCTTGGCGTTACAAGCGCCGTGCTCTACCAGCTGAGCTACAGAGGACGATCAATGCAACATGCTGCTTTGCATAGCCTATGTAGATAGAATGTACCATAGGCCACCAAAATTGAGCTCCTTCGAGAGGCACCTGGCTGGCTACTTTTTCTATTTGGCTGGCTAAAACACTGCCTATTTATCCTGACCAGCCTGTTTTTAGATTACTGTGCGTGTGAGAATATAGAGTATGTTTGTCTCATTGTTGTTATCACATGTATGTGATTTCCTAACACACTTCTTTTCCTCCCTTCAGTCGGGCCAGGGAGGCCCCCAGCCCCAGTCCATGTACCACTCTGGGCCCCTGTCAGCGCCCACACCCCCTAACATGCCCCCTGGCCACAGCTCTCCCCAGGCCTCTTACCCCATGCAGGGCTACAGCCTGCCCACCCACCAGCCCATGGCCCAACACTACCCAGGTCTGGGACAGCTCACACAGGTAATAAACACCAGGCTACTCTGGACCGACAGCCCACATACTCTCTCCTCTCTCTCTCTGGAGAGTTGAATGTAACAGATCTAAGCGAACAATGATACTAAGTCAAACAATAATGTGACAATATCAGATGTAGCACAAGTCAGAAGTCTATTTGTTTAAATTACGTAAGCCGATACAAGCTTCACTCCGTTGATCTACGCGTGTGGGTGGAGTCCGATTTTATTTTTTTTTTTTTTTTGGGATCAGCGGAAACCTGTTGGTAACATAATAATAATAATAATAATAATAATAATAATAATAATATGCCATTTAGCAGACGCTTTTATCCAAAGCGACTTACAGTCATGCGTGCATACATTTCTGTGTATGGGTGGTCCCGGGGATCGAACCCACTACCTTGGCGTTTAAAGCGCCGTGCTCTACCAGCTGAGCTACAGAGGACCACTAACATGATGCCCTCGCCGGTCCGTGTTTCCTAGACTGCCATTCACAAGTCTTCTCATTTGTGGTGAGAGTTACGTTAGTCTTCCCTTGCTAATAGTAACTAGCTGGCTTTAACCTGGCTAAAAACAGGACGCTAGCTAGCCTTTTTAGCTTACCACATCTCCTTGTCAAATAATCAGATGTATAGTTAAATATAATGTGCCATGGCAAATATTGTTATACTTGCCAGTGTAACCTACAACAGTATCTCAATTTGATATGCTGCTTCAATGTATTTGCTCCCATATCAGCTAAAAATAGTGTCATATCACGGAGAAAAGGCACATGGCTACTAGCTGTTTTTACTGTTTCAAAATATCCTGGAATCACAGTTATTACTTCTCAACAAAATACCTTTTTGTGGGGATTCTAATAAGGCAACAATGTTTGGGTTTTGTTTAAACAGGCACTGAGATTATAGTTGGTTATCAATGCAACATGCTGCTTTGCATAGCCTATGTAGATCAGATCAAGAAACCAAGCAACAGTTTCATTGCCTACACAACACTGTAGAGCCCTGCACTGGCATGAACTTTAAGCCCGAGCCCTACCCATGCCTGCGACGTTCAGGCCCTACCCAGGCCGATTGCTTCTGCCAAATTTAAGGCCCTGCCCAAAATAACTTCCTCTATTAGTAAATCCATTAGCTGCTCCTGTCACTTGCTCCCTATGCGCAGCTCGCTTTGCTTACGGTGGCTCTAAGTCTGGGTATTGATAGCTACGGCTCAGCTGGGGCTGCTCTGCTCAATGACGAGACACGAGAGAGCAGTTAGCTGCTAGCTACTTTTGGTCACTCTAAACTCTTGACAGCTCAAGGAACATTATATTCTGTGAAATAATCTCTCCTGTCTTTATATTGTATGTTGAAGCACTTTTGACACCATGTCATGATCTTAATCAGGCCTGTCGGGGTCGGTTAGCAGTGTTCTATTAACCTCTTAAGGATTGGACCCTTTTTTCCCATTTTCGCCTAAAATGACATACCCAAATCTAACTGCCTGTAGCTCAGGACCTGAAGCAAGGATATGCATATTCTTGATACCATTTGAAAGGAAACACTTTGAAGTTTGTGGAAGTGTGAAATTAATGTAGGGGAATATAACACATTAGATCTGGTTAAAGATAATACAAACAAAAAACATGCGTTTTCTATTTATTTTATAATCTTTGAAATGCAAGCGAAAGGCCATAATATAATATTGCAGTTTAGGCGCAGTTTAGATTTTGGCCACTAGATGGCAGCAGTGTGTACACATTTTTCAGATTGATCCAGTGAAGCATTGCAATACTGGACTATTTTGTATCAAGTCTGCCCAAATGTGCCAAATTGGTCGATTGATACATTTTCAAGTACATAACTATAGAGAACAAACCAAAATTATATGGTAATACAAAATGTAAGTTAACACACTCCCAGGAATGTCATACATGATGGATCATTAGCTTATACACTAACTTTCACACAGGGTGGCTGTGGAGCCAGAGACAGCATGGGTTCAAACTGTAGAACCCAGTTCCTACATTTGAATATACACATTTATTTTATCAAACAAAATGATGCTACATTTTATGTCTGGGACCTTTAGGATGAAAAATCAGAGCAAGATTACTGAATATAAGTACATTATTTATCTTCAGAGGTGAATGTATCAAACCAGTTGCTGTGATAAGTTTTTTGTTGTTGTGCACTTTCCTCAAACAATAGCATGGTATTTTCTCACTGTAATAGCTACTGTAAATTGGACAGTGCAGTTAGATTAACAATAATTTAAGCTTTGTGCCCATGTAAGACATGTCTATGTCCTGGAAAGTTTGCTGTTACTTACAACAGTCATGTTAATCACATTAGCGCACGTTAGCTCAACCGTCCCGTATACAGGACACCAATCCCATAGAGGTTAATGCTGGCCCCACAATGAACTCTTCGTAGTCAGATTTGTAGCTACGTTCTACAAGGAGCCACCCATTTTGTGACGTAAAACATTTACGTACTGCGTTGCGCTCAATCTTTCCATCCATCTCTAGTCTGTAGACCACTATTCTTGAATTAAATATGGTTGTTAGAAATGACACCATCTCGCCCCCTCTCGCTCCAGGCCCACGTTGCCCAAGGTATGTCTGGCCCCCACCACCAAGGAGGCCACGGCCCGCCCCAGATGATGCTGCACTACGCCCCGCCCCCACAGCAAGGCCCAGGCTCCGCCCAGCAGCATGGCCCACCCCCCCAGCAGGGGGCGCACCAACACTACTACATCCAACACCCACAGGGTAAGTAAATTAAAGTATTGCAGCTACACATCTCCAATATAAATTAGCTTTACATTTCCAGATCTTCGTCAGTGACTGTTGTTCTGTGTTCTAGCAGTACAGGTGCAGGCTCACCCCACCCAGCAGCTCTCCTTCCACCCCCCTGGAAACTGACACCCCTACCTACACCTAGAGGACCACAGAGGATGGAAGAGGGGGAGGGGAGCTGAGGACAGGAAGCTGAGGCCCCCAATCCCTCCCTGAGTCTTCATGACTGACCCAATCCCGTTGAGGGACACAATCAAGTTGTTCTCTGATCGGCTAAACTGGTCTGAGAAATGAAGCCCCCTTCTGGAACCACCGCCGCCACACTTCCCTCTCCTCTCGCCCACAAAATAAGCAACTTGTTTTTTTTCCAGTTTTTTACCCAGAGTTCTTTTAGTTAAAGAGAGCGCGAGAGAGAATAAGAGAAAGAGCCCGTCAAAGGCTCCCGTTCTGCTACTCTGTTTGGGACAGAGAAAAATAATAATTTCTTTTGTTTTTATGAAAGCCTAGAAAGACTGAGTCGTCCTCGCTAGCTGGTTCCATTTTTGAGAGGATTGACATGGCGAAAGCATCGTCTCACAGTAGACTGAAGCGACTCTGCAGAGAGTTATAGGACTTATCACAATGAAACTTGCTCCCTTTTAACCCCTACCTACTTCCTTTGACCTCCTCCCCATCTCCCTTTCTCCTTTTACAGGTAACCATTAATAAATAATGAAACTATTAAAAAAATGGAAAAATCATACAAAAATAAAGTTTTAAACTCAACCTCAAATGCCACCAGAACTCTTATTTTCTGTGCAAGAGTGAAGGTGAAATTGAGAAGGAATCTTGTTCTTTTAGATTTATTTAAAGGTATAAACACAAGCATTTTGGTGAATGATCAGTATACTGTTTTGAACCACTAATCTTTAATAGTAAACTCTATGCCACCCATGGCGCATCACCCAATCTTGCTATAACATATTGGCTACAATGCATTCAGAAAACATCACACATAAATGGTTCATAAGCCCCTATTCGCACGTCGGCTATGTAATTATTACCCCAGCATGTCCGTTTTTCCAGTAGATGATTCGGATGGGATTAGTTTTACCAAACTGCCCCTAATTTTTTTTCGGGGGTGGGTCATTCAAAATGGACTGTTATGACGGAACAAAATGGACTGTTATGACGGAAGCCTGGAGGTTCTTCTAGGCATGAAGATATTGCAAATATCTAGGGATAGCCTAATATTGACCTAATGGCCTTCAGTTCGGAGAAAGTCTAAATAAAATGCATATCAATAAGAACCATGAACTGTAACTTATGCAGACATTTAATTACTTGACATATTTGGCAATTTATCAATTCATTGGCACAATATCGTCCACTTCATCTTTTAAAAGAGAAGTATGGCACTAGGAAAGTTGATGTAACAAAACAGATCATTCATCTGTGGGCTACATGCATAGCACTTTGTTTTAAGCATTAACTTGTTCCCATGTTCTTACCCAAACTGGGTGCAGCACCTGTTAAACTCAGTAATATCCCTCAAAACACAGGGATGACAATTCGCACGGGATAAGTATTATCAGATGACCTGGGAGTTTGCTGAAAAACATTTGGTTTTTAGGGCTGGGATAATAAAAAATAAAAAAATGACATGGACGGGACAAAAATGACGGATGTGGTGATTTGTGCTTGTCCACATTACCTTATCCTGTCCGAATAGGGCTATAGATTATGGCAAAGCATTTATTATATTGTGACAAAAGTGACTTGAACAACTATAAAACCAGATTTGAATGTAGTTAACATGTTGACTCCACAGTAAAAAGATAAATACAGCTAAGAGAAAATGAGTAAACTAGAACGAACATTCTCAGGAGTCGTCAGCAAATCCATACTTCAGCATGTCTACGATGTCGACATAGGTTCAAATCCGGCCTACTGCCCTTCGACACAACCTCTTTCTCCACTGTCATCCTTTCTCTCTTCAGTAGTCAGGAAAAAGCTTAAAAATATATTTAAAAAAACAAACGTAATTATGGTTATAGCTGGTAGCTCGCACTCAAGCAGCTGGGGCACCAAGAGCATTTGCCCTACACCACACAAGCCATACAATAAATCTTAGAACATGTCGTCCCTAGGCCTTAATTGTTACAGCACAGTTCAGAGAGAGACGGCTGGTGGATGAGATTAAGGTCTTTGAAATGTTACATCAGCCACAGCAGTGAGTTGCACAGTGCTCTTGTCCATATTGCAGAACCCCTATGTAGATGTTAGCTACGCTGTGTAGTCTTCCCTTTGACTGAAACTTGGTTGCACTCATGATATAATTCCAGCAGTCGATTGACTCAATTCCCTCCCCGTCAGAATCTGCTACATGATGGGGAGGCTTCACAAATCTAAGAGAAAGAAAGAAAAAGAAAAGTTAGTACCAAGTTTATTTGTTATTTAGAGCTGAGTTTCAGAATGGTATTACCCACCTGCTAGGTTATTAGATGGTCTAGCAGTTTAAAGTGGAACAGACAGCGTTTTAGCAACATTACATTTTATTCAAATCTGTTCATATATACCCCCAGGAATAATGACACTTACCGTAATTTTCGGACTATAAGCCGCGCCTTTTTTCCCATTTTTCGACCCTGCGGTTTATATAACGGTGCGGCTAATCTATGGATTTTAAGCGGCGGGCTCCAGCAGGAAAAGCTGGAGGCCGGAAAAGAGTGAGACAGGTAGCGCGCAAAAGTAAAAGTGGAACCGAGAGACAGAACGAGAGACGGAACAGAACAAGACAGACTTACGAAGCGGAAGTTTTCTCTTTACAATCCCTCTGTAGAACCTTCATATTTGGAATAAAACATAGTAGTCAGGCGGTTATTATTGTACCATCATCAATATATTCATGTACTGTGCGTCTATATTACGGTTGCATATAGTGGAAAAGCAGCCGTACTTTGAACATTTCTGACGAGCATCTAGTCGTTTCATAAATTCATGAATGTTGGGAAGTAGAAATTTGTGAAACCTATATATAGAGTAAATCTGTACGTTTGACAATTATGTCCGCCAGTAAATGGAACCTAATATCGTCTGTCAGACCAGAGTCTATGAGACCCGTGCGCCATAGCCTATCAGAGCATCGGTAGGCCTTTATGCAAACTAGCCATTTGTCACACGGGCCTGCCATCATTCACTTTGAACTGGGCTGTGTGTTTACGGGCAGTGGCAACAGTGTGCCTTTAGATAATTAGAACGCATTTGCCAAAAGCCACAAAATACACCTGAATGGATTTCTGCAAATATGTAAATACCACAGGAGTCCTCTTACATTTGGGAACTTCACAGCCCTATTGATGAAACAACCATGAAAAGGTAGGCTCTCTCCCTCAGTTGCCTATGCACATCAACAACAAGATCAACAACTAATGTTAGCCAGAGCGAGATGAGCTAAAATCTAATGAGGGAACATTAGATAAACCCTCAAACTTTTTCAGGTAGTTGGCCGTCAAAATTGTACTGATAAACGATGAAGAATAGTAGCCTGCTCGTCCTTTCGCAGCATGCCTGCCAATGCATGCTTTTCCCAACCCACGTTTTGACAACTGAATGGGAACTTACCTCTCCGCCCATTTTATCGATGCCAAATACATTTGATTGATCATTAAGAAATACGCTAACTGTGGATAGCAGTCATTCAAGTTCAGCATAGCTAACGTAGCTAGTGAGCTAGCAAAGCGATTCACATTTCTTGCTAGCTAACCAAATGACACCTGCATCTCTAGCTGTAACCACCGAAAAACAACATGAGGGGAAAAAGTTGGTCACTCACCCACTCCTCCAATGACATGACATCCTCCCAGAAGCTAGCTAGCTAACATTAGGCTCCGTGTTTTTAGCTTGCTAAATAAATAGCTAACTACATAAATAGATACGCTAGCCAAGGGGTGTCAAAACTCAATCAGTGCACGGGCCATATTGATCAAACGAATTCGCGGGCCAGACATAGTCTTTGTTTTTACCAAAAAACGTGCAACTGCGACCCAATCTGGGCATTGTTTTATTAGAAAAAAGATGGCCTTTTATAATGTCCACTTATGTACATAGGATGGATGCATATAACATTTTAACATTAAAACAGAAGATACATATTTGTCCAGCCTTTGCTGCTATGCTTGCAGATGTGCAGGTGTAATACCTACATCTTTCAAGCAGACCACCATAGTCCCTGTGCCCAAGAAAGCGAAGGTAACCTGCCTAAATGACTACTGCCCCAGCAGCCATGAAGTGCTTTGAAAGGCTGGTCATGACTCACATCAACACCATCATCCCGGAAACCCTAGACCAAGTCCAATTCGCATACCACAGATGAGGCAATCTCAATCGCACTCCACACTGCCCTTTCCTACCTAGACAAAAGGAACACCTATGTGAGAATGCAGTTAATTGACTACAGCTCAGCATTTAACACCATAGTGCCCACAAAGCTCATCACTAAGCTAAGGAACCTGGGACTAAACACCTCCCTCTGCAACTGGATCCTGGACTTTTTTATTTTTATTTAACCTTTATTTAACCAGGTAAGTCAGTTGAGAAGAAGTTCTCATTTACAACTGCGATCTGGCCAAGATAAAGCAAAGCAGTGCAATTAAAAACAACACCACAGAGTTACATATGGGGTAAAACAAAACATAAAGTCAAAAATACCACAGAAAATATATATACAGTGTGTGCAAATGTAGCAAGTTATGGAGGTAAGGCAATAAATAGGCCATAGTGCAAAATAATTACAATTAGTATTAACACTGGAATGATAGATGTGCAAGAGATGATGTGCAAATAGAGATACTGGCGTGCAAATGAGCAAAATAAATAACAATATGGGGGCATGGGCAAGTTGCAGCGGAGGGTGCAGAGCTGGTGGCCGGGGTAGTGGTAGCCAGGTGGAAAGCATGGCCAGCCGTAGCAAAATGCTTGTTGAAATTCTCGATTATTGTAGATTTATCGGTGGTGATAGTGTTTCCTAGCCTCAGTGCAGCGGGCAGCTGAGAGGAGGTGCTCTTATTCTCCATGGACTTTACAGTGTCCCAAAACTTTTTGGAGTTAGTGCTACAGGATGCAAATTTCTGTTTGAAAAAGCTAGCCTTTGCTTTCCTAACTGCTTGTGTATATTAGTTCCTAAACTTCCCCTGAAAAGTTGCATATCGCGGGGCTTTCGATGCTAAGGCGTACGCCCATTTTTAGGATGTTTTTGTGGCTGGTCAAGGGCAGTCAAGTCTGAGGAGAACCAGGGGCTATATCTGTTCTTAGTTCTGAATTTTTTGAATGGGGCATGCTTATTTAAGAACAACACTTTTAAAGAACAACCAGGCATCCTCTACTGACGGAATGAGATCGATATCTATCCAGGATACCTGGGCCAGGTCAATTAGGAAGGCCTGCTCGCTAAAGTATTTTAGGGAGCGTTTGACAGTGATGAGGGGTGGACGTTTGACCGCGGACCCGTTACGGACACAGGCAATAAGGCAGTGATTGCTGAGATCCTGGTTGAAGACAGCGGAGGGGTATTTAGAGGGTAAGTTAGTCAGGATGATATCTATGAGGGTGCCCATGTTTACGGATTTAGGGTTGTACCTGGTAGGTTCCTTGATAATTTGTGTGAGATTGAGGGCATCTAGTTTGGATTGTAGGACGGCCGGGGTGTTAAGCATATCCCAGTTTAGGTCACCAAGCAGTATGAACTCTGAGGATAGATGGGGGAGCAATCAATTCACATATGGTGTCCAGGGC